GAGATAGCTTGGAATCAACTGCGTAAAGGAGCTCGGGAAGAAGATCTGAGCCAGGAGAGAAATTCCTTCAGTGCAGTCGCAGCCCCAGCCTTCTCTGATCCTACAGGAGCGTTAAAACATGGTGGTTCGCCAGAGTCCTCCTGCTTGTAACAAAGTATCACAAACTGGGCACTGGAGGGTGAAAGTGTGTAGTCTGACAGTTCTGAAGGACAGAGCTGGTTCCATGCCTCCCAGCATCTGGTGGCTGTTGACAATCTTTGGTGACAGTCCTTGGCTTGCAGCAGCATCATGTGGTCTCCCTGTATGCAATGCCCAAATTTCACACCTTTATGAGGATGCAGTCCTGCTGGATGAGGGCCTGTCCTGATCCAGTGTGACCTCATCTTAATGAATCACACCTGCAATCACCTATTTCCAAATGAGGTCCTATGATGAGGTTCCAAGGGTTGAGTTCTATAATGCTTTTGAGAGGCACGACTCACCCATAACATGCATTTAGGCACAGGGCCTTTGTATCCCATATTGACCAGTCTTCAAAAGTGGCCAGCCCTAGGGAAGGGCAGAGCTAGGTTTCAGTAGCTCCCTTAAGTCTCAGAGGGCACCAGGAGGACTCGGTTCTGTATCCCAGCAGACAACCCTCTGACAGCTGAAGAGCGGTGTTCCAGTTCTGAAGAGTTCTGGATGGCACGGTACAGCGTCCTGTGCCACAGCAGATATCCAACACCTGCCACATCCACGTGGCATCCACTGCCATGATCCCACCACAGCACCCAGCACAGTGGACCCACTAACGCATCCGCTAAAGGGGTGTCCTGGGGGTTTCTGATTATAACAAGAGCTTCCAGAGTTCTCAGGGTGTAAGATTCTGAGCTAGTCACCCCGAGGGCTAGCTCAATTCTGTGCAGCACAGTTTCATGATGTTGGAACTCTGCCCCTGAGAAACGGGTCGGCAGCCTTCAGAGAGACTGGAGATCAACAGCTGTGACACTTGTAGCACATCAGCAGAGACCATCTGCCAACCACGTCAGCCCTGTGAAGAACGTTGCTCTCTCTTGTGGAGTACTTCAGAGACACCAAAGTGTTCATGTACTGCCACTCATTACCCACGGCCTCAGCTGTGGGCACAGAGCACAGCCAGAGATTGGGCTTCCTGGTTCCCACCCCCAAGTGCTGCATCTACCCACATCCTCATTGCAATTCAGAGCCCAGTCAGAGCTCCACTGGCTGCAATTTTGTGCCTCTAGAGCCCAAGCCAAAGGCCTTGCTCTCACAGCCTTCCAGGGTCTGGCCACTGGCCAGGAGCTTCGGGTGGATGGACAGAGAGGCAAAGAGATAGCTGGATGGCTGGAAGGAAAGAAGGAAAACGCAAAATAATGAAGGAAAGGATGGGTGCATGGTGCGTGGAAAGACAGCAATGGAAGAAATCTGGTCATAGAAAAATCTAGAAAGAGAATAAGATAAATCAATACAGAATGAGGAAAAAAGAGAGATGGGGGAGGAGAAAGAAGAGAAGAAAAAGGGAGAAAGAGTGACCAGCAAGTAGACAGACCAAAGACAGGTAAAGCAGAGAGACAGAGTGAAAATAGGGACAGGAAAAGGAGGCAGAGGGGAAAATAAAATAGAGCAAATCCAGACATACGGCAGGGAGAAAGACGGGGCGGGGGGGGTGTAATGGAAGATAAAGGAAGCCGCGAAGGGAGCCATGGCAGGTGGACAGGCCAGAGGGAGAGAAGAGGAGAAAGAGAAATGCAAATAAGAGAGGTAGAAACTTCTGACCACAAAGAGAACACAGAGATAAAAGATGGAGATGGAGGGAGAGAAGAGCAAGAGGCAGATTAGAAGGACAGGAGGGAGCGATGGAGATGGAGGAGACTGGAGAGTGGAGAGAAGTAGAGAGGGAGGGTCAGAGACAAGGAAGGACCAGGGAGGTGAGAGGGAGGGATGGAGATGCAGGCAAGAAACCCAAAGCACAAGGGAGGGAGGCAGAGAAAGGAGAAGCAGAGTTGAGGCTGCCAAGGAGAGGCCCACATCAAAAAGACACAGGAGGGAGGGGAGCAAGAGGGAAGAGAGGAGGAAGAAGCATCTGGAGGAGTGGAGGGAGGAGCCAGAAACTTGGGGTGGTATGAGAGGTGCTGCTGAGGCATCAGATAAAGATAAAAATGGTACTTGTGGTGATGATGATAGGGATGACGATTACAGCAATAGTGGTGCTGGTGATGGTGGTGCTGGTGGTGGAGGTGGAGGTGGTGATGGAGGTGGAGGTGGTAATGGTGGTGATGGTGGTGGTGGTGCTGGTTATGGTGGTAGAGGTGGTGGTGGTGGTGGTAGTACTAGTGGTGGTGATGATGGTGGTGATGCTGGAGGAAGTTGTGGTGGTGGTGGTGATGGTGATGGTGATGGTGTGGATGGTGGTGGTGGTGCTGGTGATGGTGGTAGAGGTGGAGGTGATGGTGGTGGTGGTGGTGGTACTGATGGTGGTGGTGGTGCTGGTGGAGGAGGTTGTGGTTGTGGTGGTGATGGAGGTGGAGGTGATGGTGGTGGTGGAAGTGGTGGTGGTGATGGTGATGGTGGTGATGATGGTGGTGATGGTGGAGGAGGTTGTGGTGGTGCTGGTGATGGTGGTGGAGGTGGAGGTGATGGTGGTGATGGTGCTGGTGGTGGAGGTGGAGGTGATGGTGGTGCTGGTGATGATGGTGGAGGTGGAGGTGATGGTAGTGGTGGTGGTACTGGTGGTGGTGGTGATGCTAGTGGTGATGGTGGAGGAGGTTGTGGTGGTGTTGGTGATGGTGATGGATGGTGGTGGAGGTGGAGGTGATGGTGGTGGTAATTATGATGGCAATACTGATAGTAGCAACAACTGACATTGAGTGCTTACTATACACTGGTCACCATTTTAATTTCCACCTCTCTCAACTGGAGCATAATTCATACACAATTAAAGGCATGGAATTCAGAAGTTCCAGGGGCATGCGTGCATGTGAAGGTATCTGCATTGTCTACAGAAAAGGGATCTAGACTAAGTGGATTTTTGAATACAGTGGTAGCAGGGAGTGTGACCTCACAGAGCCTGACATCTTGGGGTTGTTGAACACCTAGGTTCCAGGGGCCTGCTGTTGACAAGTGCTGCTCTGTTTCAGGTAGGTTGAGCCCAGTGCCCCTAAATACACCAAGCTCTGTTCTTGGCTGGTGTCTGAATGAAGAGTGCTTTGGAAACTAGGGAAAATGTGCAAATAACCAAGAGCCCAATAAAGCGGGAGAATCCCGGCTTGAGGTGAACGGGCTGCTATGGGAGAGAGACTGTCGCAGCTTCTCCTGATGCCTGAGATGTGCCCAAGCACCTCCTTGTTCAGCACGGCCTCCTCTTGCCCATACACCTCATCTCAGAACCAGAAGCTGCCAGAATGCTCTGTGGGAATGCTCCTCCAACTGTCACCGTGAACGAGAAATGCTGGAGAAGATATTCAACCCGACTGAAGCATTACATAAGGCCACATGGACATGTGCCCCCATTAATATGTGCCACTTGTAGGTTTTTATGTATGCATTAAATTTTTTCAAAAAGAAATGTTTACTGTTTTGAGCCACTAAGTTCTGGAGATGTTGGTTATGCAGACAAAACTAGCTGTGAAATTATGTGACTCTTTCAAGTCATACAAGGAGCTAAAGGTGGGCAGTCTGTCTCCTCCCCATTTTGCTCTGGATTCCGCTCAAGGAAGCCTATCCAAACAGCTTTCAGTCCGTGATCCACCCACCCACCCACCGCAGGGACAGGTCTTCTCTCCCAGGATGACATTTAAAACCCTTGACGTGAAAGTTTCCAGCATGACAAACTAGAGACTCTCCCTGGGATCCTGGAGAGCGCCTCTGGGGGGCTGGGTCCTGGGGAGGCCTTAGGGAGCCCCTGGCAGCAGGACCGTGGGGAGGCCTCAGAGGCCTTGGGGAGCCCTGAGAGGCTGGATCGTGAGGAGGCCTAGGAGAGCCCCTGGTGGCTGCATGGTGGGGAGGCCCCGGGGAGGGCCTGGTGTGGAAACAAGGCAGCATGTCGACCGGTGGTTTGGCAGTGCAGGTGTGGCCTGGCGATCAGTGAGTCTGCCAGCAGCAGCTGTCCAACTTCAGCTCATGGCTGAAGAACCCTCGACTCTCCTCTCAGAACCCACCACCTCCCAAGGATTCATTAACACAGCCCACCTGAAAGTCACAAGCCCGCAGAGGCCACCACACAAAAACAAGAGAATTCTCAGATAATTTATTCAGAATTTTAATATAAACAAGTAATTACCCCATATTTTACATGCAGAACAATTCCAATACCTCCAGGCCCCCCACCCACCACCACCACCAAAAAAAAAAAAAAAAAAAAAAAGGCATATTCTGTACATGGTGCTACTTGGCTCTTGTAGGAAAACATTGAAAACGTAATAATTGGGCTTTGAATGGGTATTGTTTCCGAGTTGTCTTCTGCAAAAGCCGTAGACATTTGATCTGCACTGCTGACATGCAGAGCCAAGGCCACCCAGACACACACAGGGGTAGGGAGCAGCAGATTTGATAAAGCCTAAAGACCAGGTGAGCCATCTTGCTCACATGCGTCCAGGTACACTCGCTTGGGGCTTGTCCTTCCTTCTCAAACAGAACCGAGAGCCCCAGATGCATGATCTGGTTTTTAACAAGGATTTTTATGGCCCACACCCACACAAAAATTTGGCTAGAGGCTAGTTCTGGACCTTGATTAATATCAAAAGGTGACAGTGAGCTCAAAAAGTCATTGCTTTCCCTCCATTTCTTGGGGACCCCTAAGGACACATTTAGTCAGAGCCCCCGAAAGGCCATCCCATTTTTAAGTGCTCTAAAGAACAGAGTGCTGGTCTGTTCTGTTCATTTCCAGCCTCTAGCATAAATTAATATTCTTGGGAACATTCTGGAAGATTTTCTGAAATGACACTACCCCATGCACACCATCTATCTAAAAACCATTCCCCCTTCCCCCACCCCCAACAAAACCATAATTTCTGAAGAGCCCAAGGTGTCAAGGACTCACCAGATGGCATCCACAAGACATTGATATACCCCCAAATTCCACCCACCACGAAGCAGAAAAGTGACTACTTCTGGTACATAGCACATCCATTTGCTCACCAGTGTGATGGTGGGCTACCAAGAAAGGACTTCCTAAGCCAACATGCACATCTCATGCTGGACCATCTGCCCTGCTGGGATGGGATTCAAGACTGCACATCAGTGGGGGACATACCTCTAGGGTCACCGCATTGTAGTGCCAACCCTTTTATCAATTCCACGTTTTCATTACATTGTGCTTTCTCCAGAGAAGGGCCATGCCTTCCCACTAGCTTAATGACAGCACAGCACCTAGGACAGCTCCCAGAACATGGGCATTTCCTAGCATGTGCTTGACCTCACGGACCTAGGCAGAAAGAGATGTGATGGGTGTTCTCCTCCTGAAAGAAGAAACTATGGCATGGATTTCACATGTCGATGAAAAAGTGTTCGTAACAGTGAGCCGTCTTTAAAGACGAACAAAAAGTGTTCACCTAAGCCAGTGTTTGGTGACAATCACTACCAACTCCCAGCATGGCCGTGCCTCTATAGGGCCAAACTTCTATGTCACACAGTCAACATTTTCTAAGGCTGAGAGGAGGTCTGTGAACCATCAGCTGCCCGCTCTTCTCACTACCGCAGGAGACGTCAAAATGAAATTGGTGGGCCCCCGTTTGTACTGGCAGGCCAGGACTCGACCCCTCTCCAGGAGGTGGAGAGGAGGGGTCCACAGGGCAGTGCCTAAAAGGACAGGAGCAGTGAGGTTTGGCAAATAAGACCACAGCTCTGCTGACCCCACCTGGACTTTCACAAGAGTTCCCAAAGTCGCACAAGGTCAGACCAAGGCCCAACACAGGGGTTCAGAGTTTTGTTGTTAAAACTGTGTTCAGCACACTGCTGGGTCTTAAGCTGGGATTTCCAGAAATGCCCCCTGCCCTACCTTCCATAAAAGGAGACCCTGCAGTCGGGTATGGATGTGCGTGTGGGGTGCCTGTGAATACAACCCTGTGCCCCCCGAGAGCATTATCAGTCTGGAGGGAGTGGGAATGAGTATCGAGAACCCACAGCACCTGTGCACTCACTTTTGGGGGCTCCAGCCCTGAGCCAGAGCTTGCCTTTTCAGCAGCCGATGAGACACCCACGTGTCATCCGAGGCGGCAGGCCGGGTGCCCCATCCATCAGCTACACTGTGATGACCTGAACCTTGGTTTCCGTTTGGAGAGCACAGCGTCAACAGGTGCAGGATTTTTTAAAAGGAAGATTTAATTCAGAGAGGAATACTATCGGTCAGGAGGTCAGGACTAGGTTCACATGAAGGCTACAACTTCTCCCTCCTAACTCCCCCCCTCAAAATTCTCACTGGTCCCTGCCATTTGGAATCAGCTGATACACTTTTTTCCTGATTCAAACTGGATCCAGGCAGAATTCTGAAGTCTCAAAGATGTCTGTTATTGAACCACATCCTAACAACACACTGAGGTAGACTGTGCTGGGAAAAAAAAATCATGACCCACATTCACCTGTTTATTTTTCCTTGATAAAAATTTACATGCACTCCATTTTTTACGAAAGTGATTTTTAGATTGATTTTATATATTAAAATAAATACTTTTTCCCACTAAGAAAAACTTTCTGAATTAGAAAAATGTGAAAACTGCTGCTAGCGTAGTATATTACTACAAATTCACTAGGAAAAGAACAAAATACCTAGATCTGTGTGTCTCTAATTGACATCCAGACTCTTATTATATTTACAAAATGACTTTGGCGAAAATAATTTCTGTACTCTTGCTTCTTGTACCCAATCACTGAGGCTCCCCAGCAATATTTTACAGGCTGTATTTTCTCAAATCATATAAATAAGATAGTAATAGGCCGTTGGAATTCGTGTCTACCTGTGTTCTCAACCCAGAACTGAGAGGGCTCGGAGGTCGTCACTGTATCCCTGTCCCACGACTCTTAACAGAGGAAGAGGAGAAGGAAGCAAACATCTGTAGGGAAACGCTCAGGGATGGCCCGTGGGGAGGGTTCTGATGAACCCAGGTGGGGCGTTCACCATGTTCTTCACTTGAGCAGCTGTGGTTCTCACACAGAGAATTAGACGGGGGACTCCCACCGTTCAGAAGTTCTCAGCGGTGGGGAAGTCTGACTGTCTCGCCTCCAGACATTAGTCTCTTAGAGATTGCAACATGATAAGCACCTGAGGGAGATGCTCAGGTACCACGCCTGACCCAGCTGAGGTTCCCGGGCACAGGGCTGCTCTGGGCGGCTGGTACCGAGGATACTCAGATGTCCCACGGATGGAGAGGACCGACGTTCTCAGGGCATCCCCTGGTATATTGCTTGATGTTCTCAGAGGCCATCCTGGTTGCTGGTCTTTGGGAGCCGATTTGTTGTGTTCGCACAGTAACCGAGGAAGGTGCACACCCAGGAGAAGGAACACCGGGGCCGGGGGAGGTACACAAAGGATGAACACAGGTGTCCTCGAAGGAGGGCCCATCGGTAACCAGTTCATCCAAGCGGGAAATTTCCGGCAGAACTTGTTATTCAAACAGGAMCAACTCCCAGTTGCCCACACTCCATGGGGCCTCAAAAATGTCCAAAAGGGTTAGCAGCTAATGTGGCTTAATTCCCAGAAAACACTCCTTTAAGACCCAAATAAGAAGCTACTCATGCCCCACTCACTCTCCCGAGACAGGCAGACCCCCCAGTCCTCCTCCAGGGAACAGTCAATAACTTAGGAGGCTAATGCCCGAGACCTCTTCAAAATTAAATATGTTACAAATATATCCTCAAAACTCTCTGTCATCTCAGGTTTTTTCCCTTTTGCTTCTTTTTCTTTCTGTCCTGGCTTTGTTTGGTCTTCCAAAGATCCACGATGACCATTCCAAACTAAACRTCCCTCCCTCAGCTCCTGAAAACCATGGATTCACCAGAGGGAAGGGGAAGAGTCACCTGAGGCAGGACTCCCGACAGGAGAAGACTCTGTCTAGGGCACAGTCTCCCGGAAGGAAGCAGCCGGGGGAGGACGTGAGCCACAGACCTGCCAGCCACAGACCCCCAGAGCCAAGTCCCAAAGCTTCAACTCAGCACGAAGACTCCGCACGCACGCACACGCACGCACACCAAAGCACACGTGTGCACGCACACCGGGGCTGTGCACACTTATCAGAAGGGACAGCAGCAGCTGTTGGTCAACTTGAGGAACTGATTTTGTGAACAAGAAAAAAATAAAATCCTTCCGTCGGGATGAGAAAGGTCACCCTGTAAAGCTCGGGCTTCTGCAGGGACAGGATTTTGTTTCTCCTTTCAACATTTGTTCCTCAGACAAGTTTTCTCTTTTACACTGTAGCTCAGACACTAGCAGAAGGAAAAATAAAAACTTTGTAAAAATACGTGTTTTCTTTCAATCTACTAAGAAAAAAAAATCCTGGTTCGAAATTGTGGATGCCCAAAGGGCAGCAGCCATGGAACCCCTTCCCCTCCAGGTTCACAGTTAAATCTTCTGATGACCAGTCGAATTGGCAAGCACACAGCGTGTTTTAGGTCAAAAGATGAACAGAAATGTACAGGAACTATCTCTGAGATCTGTTTGACGTTGGGGTAGAGTTGTGAGAATCCTGAGTTTTCTAGAGGCGTTCAAACCAGAGAAAAGTGAAACAGGAACCTCCCCCACAGGCACTGTTAGGAGGGACTGGACCGGGGCAAGGTCAGAATCCGCCCGTTCTTCTTGCCCCCGTTCATGTGGGTGTAGGGGATGTGGTCCTCATAGTTCCGCTTGATGCCCAGAGAGGACCCTCCCTCCCGGCCCCCGGCCTCCTCCCTCTGACAGTGGGAGGACCGATCCAAGGGGACATTCTCCATGTCCTCAAACTCCATCTCCAGCTCCTCACTCTCGGGAGCCTTGTTCTCATCACTGTGGAAGAAGGAAACTTCTGGAAAGCTGGGGTGCAGGTCATCCTTGAGCATGTTGACGATTTCCAGGAAGGTGGGCCGCATCTTGGGGTTGAACTGCCAGCACATGCGCATCAGCTCGGTGCTGTGGGACAGAGGGACAGGTAGGGGATGAGTCTGGGAGTCCACCAAGCAGCACGCCCCAGCCCTGCAGCCGACACTCAGAGATGACACTTGTGCATGTCGGAAGCCATGCGTGAGGCCCTTGTCAAGGCAGGAATGGCAACTCAAGGGTACGAAAAGGTGGCTTTGACAGTAAGCCAAAAAGGCCGTCTCACTAGGACACGTGCATCATGGGTGATGGCTTTATCTATCCCTGACCCTCCACCCCTTCTKCACCCGGCGCTTCATAACCCTTCATTCCTAACTGGCCTTCCGGAAGGGCTCCCCTGGTCCACCAGCAGTGCTGGACTTGAAGACCCCGCAGGGGGGGATGCTCGAGCCCCAGTAGGTGCACCTGCCAGAGGCCCAGCCCTCCATCCCCAGAGGGTGGCAGGAGGGGCCTCAGCCACAGGAGCAGCCCCTGCCAGTGGGCTTCATGGTATGTGCCCGGAGGAGACTCTGCATCCTCAGAGGCTGCCTTGGGGCCTCCAGGCTAACGCTCTGCTCCACCAAGAGCACTTGGGACAGGAGTCAGGCTTGTTCTCCATTTCACCTTTCTCCTCACCACCACTGTACCTTCCAGGGCAGGAGCTGGCCCTCTGAGTGTGTTTATGAATGAAGTTTAATCGGCACATGGTCATACCCACTCATTAAGTAATGTCTGCAGCCACCGGGAGCTACAGCCTGGATGGCGGGCCACGAGGCCCCAAAGCCGGAAACCCTCACAATGTAGCCCTTTAGGGGAGAAGCCTGCGAGCTCCACCCTAGGCCTCACTTAATCTCCCTGATCCTAGAACTAATGCCAGCGGCACCCGGGCACAGCCAGGAAAGGACCTTCAGGAGGCAGTGTTTAGAAATATTTTTTTCAGACTTTCCACATAGCTGTTTCATACTTTCTGTCATAGGGGGCCTTTAAACCGATTCCTTATTCTTGAGGGAGGAAGCATTTAAATGACCTCCCTCCTTTTCAGAAGCAAAAAACTTAATAGATACTGATAGAGGATTTTTGGTGTAATAAGTACTCATCGTGGAATGTTAAAAACACCCCAAAGTAGAGAGAAAACACAGCTCCCTCACTGCTCTCCTTCGGCTGTCAGACCGGGTCTGGTCTACCCGGGCACATTTGGAAATGTAATAGAAAACACTTTTTCCACTTACTATCTGAACAGCAGCTCATTCAATTAGTTATAACATATCTTCACAAGCCTCAGTTGAAATTTCATTTGCTACATCAATTAATTTATCAATTTATTTAGCAAATCTCATTATTGGATATTAAATTTTAGGGTTTTCTTCTTTGCAACGTCTTTGCAACTGTAACTAGTACAAAAGGCAGTAAGAATGGTTATCTAACAACAGCATTGCTAGCACTGGGTAGGAAATTTTTTTTCCTAATTTTAGAAGGCAATATTTTTTCTTTATTTACTCTTTATTTATTGGACCATTAGTGAAGCTAGACAATTTTCCAAGTGTGAAATGGCACAGGTGTGTGTGGACTATTTGACCCTATAACAAAAATTTAAAAGAAAAATGTGTGTTGGGGGGGATACCTGATACATTTACCTAATAAAATTTTAAGAAAAAACAAGCATAGGTCTCCCTCCCCCAAGTTCTCAGGTTTCCTTCTCCAAGATTGCCACTATCGTGGCTCCTCGCACAGCCTCCCAGTTGTGTATGCAATAAAAGCAGGTGTGTGAAGACGTGATATGGAAACACACTCATGAATGCAGATGCACAATATGCACACCAAGTGCACACACAGAGGTGAGGTCATGGGATGTGCACACTAAGTGTGCCAAAAAAAACCCAAAAACCCACAAGCACACAAGACCTGCATGCAGGCACAAGTATGCTTRCAAAGATCTGAAATGCAAACACAGGCTCGCATGAAGACATGCCATTCAGACAGCACATGCTTAATGATCAAATATAGAAACRCACAGGCAGGCACGTGCAAGCACAAGCCTGCATGTGAAGACGCACTTCAAACACACCAGGCACACAGCATGCACACACAAGTGTGMGAGCAGCATAGGCCAGGCACACCTGTGCTGTGTCTCTGCACTTACACTGTATCTGGACAGTTGTCGGGCTGCTCCAGGTACCCGCCGTCCATGACGAACTTCAGCACCTGCTCGTTAGATAGGCCTTGGTAGGGCTGTTCCGCCAGGCTGGTGATCTCCCAGAGGACCACACCGAAGGACCTGCCAGCAGGTTGAGAGTAGTTAACAAAGAAGCCACCCACTGACACACACCCTTATCATCTACTGGACCTTGGCTGTCATTTATTAGAGCCTTGTTAATGAAACAATTCCTCTTGCAATTCATGAATGCCTACAACATCAGTCTCGACTGGAATGCAGGGGAGCCGTGTGAGGTCTGCAGCCAGGGCATCGCCTTCGCTTCCTGATGAAGAGATGGGAGGAAGGCCGGCTTCCCTGGTCCCCTCCGGGCCTGTCACACACGCCTCCTCACAGGCCCGGCCATGTGGTTACTGCTCCAGCCAACTCACCACATGTCAGAAGAAGCCGTAAAGACCCCGTCCTTCAGGGACTCGGGTGCCATCCACCGCACGGGCAGCAGGCCCTTGCCCCCTTTCCGGTAGTAATCCGTTTCGTAGATGTCTCTGGTCATTCCAAAATCTGACAAGAAACAGGTCACACACTCAGCCTGCAGCCTGTGGCCCCCGGTCTGCCACTCTGACGCTCTGAGGTGTGCGTTCCCCGGGGCTGGTCATGTTCAGTGAGAACGGCTCTGAGGGATTCATGAGGATGCGGAGGGGGAATGCCAACSGCCATTTACAGGGAGGGACCATGAGGCACCAAGTGACAAAGACCTGGCTTTCTGGCCCGTACCTTGGAGTTCCGTTCTCAGCACCCACCCTGTCCTCTCCCCAGCACCCCAAACTCACTTCTTGACTTTCCACAGCCAACCTCTGGTCCCCACTGGATAGAGCCCCGTCACCCAACCAGCTCGTCACCGGACACCCAGAATCGGGCCTTCCCTTGACCCACCCCTTTCCTCACTCCCCACCCCAACCCAGCAGCACCCCACCTCTCCTCAACCCAGCTACTCCTCACTGGRGCCACCCAGGTCCACCACCACCTTTCACCTGCCCACACCCCTCCCACCCGACAGGGACGGCCCACTGCCCAGGACAGGCCACATAAGAGGACCATGCCCCCGCCTGCTCCATTGCTAATGTAAGAGGATGTCTTTGGGTTTTGTTTGCGTATTTGGGGAGGTTTTTTTTTGGTCTGATTTTGTTTCGTTTGAGTTTCAGTTTGTTTGTTTGAAGTCCTGGGATTGAACCCAGGGCACTCCAACACTGAGCTACACCCCCAGGAAGATGGGCCTTGAACCCGCCCTCCTCCTGCCTCAGCTCCCAGGCCCCTGGGATCATAGGCATCACCATTACATACGGCGAGAATCTCTTGGGATCATAAACCGAATCATTTTCCTTCCTGTTCCCATTGCTAATCCAGAAGAATGTTCTTGAGATCATAAGCAGGGTCATGTTTCCCACTTGTATCCTACCAGGTGACATTCTGTGACTTGCAAGGCCCCTCCAGGTGTGGTTCTGGCCTCTCAGCTCACATACCTCTCCTGCTCCTCTGGTCCCCCATATCCATCTTATTCAGACCCCAAACCATCTTTCCAGCCTCAGGGCCTTTGCATGYGCTATCCCCTCTCCTGGACACTCTCACTCATCCTGCCAGATGCAGCTGGAACGTCACCTTCCTACAGAGAGCGATGTTTCCTGAACTGGACTCTCCCCGAGGCTTCTCCCCCCCCCCCCCCGGGACTCTACTCCCTTCACTGTTCTTTGCCCTCCCTTCCTCGTCTCGTCCACACAGTGTGAAATTCTTTACTACTTTTCTGGAGCAGCCCCACCATTATGGATGGATATGGTCTGTGTTGTCCAATGTGGTGGCCACAGGCTCAGGTGGCTGTCAAACACCCGAATGTGGCCAGTAACCAATGGACTGGAATTTTACTTTCACTTAATTGAAATGTAAATGGGGACATAGACCACGCTGTGCTAGATAATGCAGATGACGGCTGCAGACCACAGTGATTGAGTCTAGTGGCACCTCCAGCACCCACTAAGGTGGCAGCGCCTACCAAGCACAAGGAATTTTTGAAAGAAGCGAAGGGGTGAGTTCATCCATAAATATGACTAAATACCAGTGGAAGACTGGGCCCCTCCCCAGCCCTGACACTGTAGACAAGATCTGAGAACTTATCCTGGAGAGCTGCCCCCTGAACCTGAACCAGCCAGGCCAGACATTTCAAAGCAGAAAGAAAGATCCAAAGACAAACCTCCAATTTTGACAGTAAAATCGTGAGCAACCATGCAGTTTCGAGCTGCCAGGTCCCGGTGCACAAACTTCTTGGCATTCAAGTATGCCATCCCATCTGCGATCTCTGCTGCCATCTGAATCACCTCTTGCAGRGTCGGGGGAGGGCGACCGGGGTTATTCTACAGTGGAAACAGGGGTTCATGTTCAGCCACCCTGGTACCCGCAGCCAGGAGCGGGCGCYCTGCCGGGGTCTAGAGGCAGCTCACCTCGGCCTCCGGCCTCAGAGAGCGGAGGTAGCTCTTCAGGTCTCCGTGAGCCATCAGCTCCATCACCACCAGCGTGGGCTGGCCCTTGGACACCACCCCCAGGAGGCGGACCTGCAGAGAAAGGGGTTCTCGGGTGAGAGTCTGTGGGATGATTTCAACTCACCGTGGTCTCTCTGCCTGGTGCCTACGGCACACTCGGTACCCTGTGCCCAGATRGAGCATGATCAGCCCTGGTGTGGGGAGCAAACAGACACCCCAAGGCAAAGCCCACCCCCTTAATGTTCCCAAGCACACGGGGCATGTGCCAGGTTACCAAGGGCTACAAAGAAGCCAGGAAGAGGGAAGACAGAAAGGATTCCAGGTGGTGATGGAAAAGCAATAAAAGATCCAGAGAGATGAAAAGTTCTGGAAAGTGCAGGAAGATTCCAGAAAGTGATGGAAAGTTCTGGAAAACAATGGTACAGAGAGAGAGTCTGGTTCCAGGTGAGGTGGGAGAGGGGGCATGAAGGAGCCCCTTCCCCATCTTTGGGATGGAGGGTGCAGGGGAAGATGGGCAGGTCCACATCCAGTGTCCTTGGCAGTCTGTGGTAGGAGGCAGTAGGGCAAGGGCAAGGGCATGAGAGGAGGCAGACCTACCACATGATGGCAGGTGAAGCCCTTCATGACCGAGGCCTCGTTGAGGAACTCGATCCGCTCCCGGAGACTGGCTGCCTCGTTGACGGTCTTCACGGCCACCCGGGTCTCCGCCTCGCCCTTGATGATGTCCTTGGCATTGCCCTCGTACACCATGCCGAAGGAGCCCTGCCCCAGCTCCCGCAGGAGGGTGATCTTCTCCCGGGGCACCTCCCATTCGTCCGGCACATACACAGAAGAGGGGAACACTACTCCTCACTTAYCCACACGGCACCCTCGGCTGATCCCCAGGGGCCGGCCACCTCCCGTGCCTGAGTCCCCTGCAAATGCTCACGTCCCTGTGACCCAGGACTCTGTCAGGCATTGAACATGTGACCAAGAACAGGGCAGGTGTCGCTGCCCCACGGAGGAGTTGGAACTAGCCCTCCCTTGCAGCTGGGAACACAAAGCCCCTCATGGAAGCTGCCACAAAGAGCAGACGTGTCCCCAGCATTCACCCGCCACCACTCGCCCCCTCCTCTCCCTGGCTCTCGCCTCCTTGGTCTCCCATTTTAACTTCCAATCCCCACCCCCCAGGTTGGAGGATGAGTTCGGAGTTCTGTCCCTGACCCTCAGTGGCCACTCCAGCTGCACACCCCATGCTGCAGCCCCAGGTCCTCAGCCTCTTCCCCCGGCCCAGAGGTCCCAGAACAGCTCCGTCCTCCCACCCAGGCAGGAATCAGACAGCAGCCGCTGCACGGCTCGTAGGAACGGAGTCTCCGCAGTGAGGGCAGGTGGGCAAGCTCCAGGGAGCAAGGAGGCCTTCCTTGCCCTGTTTGAGGTGACAGGCTGTCCTCAGCCCTCCCTTGGTGGGATCCTCACCCATTAGGGAAGGGGATGGTACTCACCGTCACTGGCGCTGAGGTACTCGGGGTTTGAAGAAGCATAGAGAGGTCCCATCGGCCCATCTGGCTGCCTGGAGGGAAAAACCGAAGCCGAGCAGCGTGAGACTCACGGCACCCACCCTAGGTCTTGAACTGGCCACCGTGGGAGACATTTACACCTCAGAAATGGGCAAACACTACAAGTTGGAATGGATTTAGGKTTTTTTTTTCCTTAGTTGTAGGTGGACACAATACCTTTATTTTATTTGTTTCTATTTTTATGTGGTGCCAGGAATCGAATCCAGTGCCTCACACATGCTAGGCTAGCGCTCTGCCACTGAGTCACAACCCTGGCCCCAGGAATGGATCTAACTTTCTGTTGTTTGTTCCCAACTTAAAAAAGCAATGGATAAAGTATTACTAATAATACAGATTCAACTTGACAGTGGGTCATTTCAGTACCCAACATTGCTCACAACCCACAAAAGCTGAGATGATATTCTTCCAGGATTTAAAAACCATGCTTCAGCAAAGGTGTTGCTCATGCCGTTGATGAAAATACATTTCTTACTTAATTTTGGTCTGACTCTTTAATGCAAAAAAAAAAAAAAATCAACACTTATGTTGTAGCTATACTTGTTCATTGATGGCAACCATAGGCTGGCTATGGGTATGCAGGTTTGGGGGGGGGGAAATCAACAAAAGCATTAAGAATCAACGGGAGAGGGGAAATTCTCGATCAAGAATATTACATATTAAGATTATTACCTGTAAATTGCACGTTGTACATCCCATAGTGATTTGGAAGGGCAATAAAAGATGGAATTTATAATAAACTTAGCTATACCCCTATCTGCATCCAGGCATATCCCCGCCCCCCGCCCCGAGAGCCAGTTGTTGACCATTTACCGGCACACCACCGCACTCACCTTTTTCTCAAGAATAGGTAAATGCTTCCAATCACAACACTGAAGAGAAAGACAAAGATGAGGGGGCCAATGATGATTTTGGCAATATTTGATGGCACATCTACTGAAAAAAAATAAGAAAAGAGAATGAGAAAATATGTGGTTCACATCAAAAATCACAGTTTGGAGCCATACTTGACCTTGAGCCTCTCTCTGCTGGTTACTCAGACCCCCCCTTCCCCCCCCCCCATAATCCTGAAACACCACTTGGCTGAGCAGGGCTCAGAGCCTATGTTCCTGAAACCCCCTGCCGCAGCCCCTCCCTAGACCAGCCTTCTCTTCCCCACCCCAGGGCGGCTTCACAAGCACAGAATCCAGGTGGTCAGCCAGGGACCCACACTAAGATCCAAGGGGGTCATGTGAACCCCCAAATTTGTAAGTAGTTGGATCAAAAGTGCAGGTGACCTGGGGCCCTCAAGCTTGCAGCTAGTGTCTGAAGTGAGGGTGTCTTGTTGGAGACCATCATGTGCGTAAGCTTGTAGGCTGTTTGCTAACTCTGGATTGGACTGGATTGGATTTGCAGAACATCAGCATGTTCACCCTGACCCTGACCCTGACCCTGACCTGAGCCAGCCCAGCAAGAATCACTTGACACTTCTGCACCCTCATGGTGCCCAGCACGTGAAACCCAGCCGAGAGAGAAGTCCCGTCCCACCCAGCTCAGAATCTTCCCTCCCTCCAAATCGCTTTGCTCATGCCTGTGTCCACACGTGCATGTGGGCTCCTGCCACATGCACGCTCAACCCATCTCCCCCTTGGCCTCTATGTATTCTTTCTTCAAGATCTTGATCAAGATGTCACCACCTCCAGGAAGCACAGCCTGATCAGCCGGCTGCCCCTTCCCCACAGTCCTCAGGGGCTGGCTCACTTCTTGCTTAGCTGTTCATTGCTGTACCCAAGGTAGAGAAGGCCCGTTCTGCCCTCCTCCCCGGGGTACGTGGCCCATCTATTAACAAAGATGGAAACACCAGTAGTGGAACCAATGTGTCCACAGAGGTGCCCTGTGACAGCCCTGGACGTGCACCATGGCATGGAAACTCCCTCGACCTCCTGACGTGGGTCCTGTTACTTTCCCTGTGTGCACCTGTGCCTCGGTATCTGAGGGGATGGGTGCCAGGACCCCTGTGGCTATCAAACTCCATGGATGTTCAAGTCTTTATATAAAATGGCACAGTATTCGCATAGAATCTATGTGCATCCTCCCACAGACTTTAATTCATCTCAGGATGACTTAGGACACCTGATACAATGTCAAGGCTATGTCAATGTTGTTATTGTTTTAGGGGAAATAAGGAAAAAATCTGCACATTCACTGTGGATATGATTTTTTCTTTTATTTTCAATTTATGATTGGCCGACTCTGAGATGTGGATCCTACAAATACAGAGCACCAGGTGCAGGCTCAGAGAGGGCAAATACTCAGCCTTAGGTACACAGCAGCAGCAGGTGGAACAAGGGTCAAGGTCAGGCCGGCATTCCTACCTCCCCAGGGGTCATTCACTAGAAAAGTCCTACCATGCCCACGGTGCCAAGCCCAGACCCAACCACCTGAGGTTGCCAAGGAAACTTACGATAATCGGTCACGTAGAAATAAGTGGCTTCTGTCCAGGAGCCGTTGCCTGCCAGGGAGGTGGCCCGGATGCGCACGCTGTAGTTCCCTGGTGACAGCCCACGCAGCCTGCAGCCCCTCTCCAGAGCAAAGTGCTTCCGGGAGACACAGAGATGCAGCTCCTAGGAGGAAGGAGACGGGGCCACTGAGTTCTGCACACCTGGGGCACCCAAGTTGTGAACGACGCATCGCGGTCACGGCCAACTGCTCGATGCTGAACATTCTCACTCCTCAGAGCAGATCTGACTTTGCCACATAAGAGCCACCAGCAAATCTGTACCTCCCACAAACAGGACGGCAGAGTCCCAGCAAAACTCAGGGGACCCCGAAAGTCGAGCTTTGTGTGCTTTTCCTGTGTCATAAAATATTCTTTGACAATTACCCTGTTTTAAAGGGGCACTAGGGCATGTATTTGTGGGCACCGTGTGCCATTAYGTGTATGCGCCTAGAGAGATTAAAGCAGGCCAACAAACAAGTGTCACCTCACGCTGACAGTGTCTTTCTGTGAGAACACTTTGGATGTATTCCTTTTTAGTTTAATTTTTAAAAGTCCGTGATCACATTGTAACGCCACGCATTCATGACGTCTGGGGTGATGATTCAACCTGTGTGTGCCGTGCCAACTGCAGGGGTCACCTCGGGGTGGCCAGCATTTGTCTCTCCTTAAACATTGATCATCTGTGTTGAGAACTTCAAACTCTCTCTCCTAGTTCTGTGTAAAGCATAAAATGAGCTGCTCTCAACAGTCCCTCCCCTGTGAGTGACCACTAGAACTTACCCCTCCTACCCAGAGGGGTTTGGGGGCCCGTTATCCCACCTCCCTCTGCCTCCMCCCCTCCTACCCCACATCCATTCCTCAGTATTTTGAAATATCACATATGGTCACTACTCAGGGAATAGGTCCCTGAAGCTTACCTGTCCTAGATGAACCTCTGCACCTTCCCTTAACATCTCTCCTTATTCTTTGGCTTTTTCCCCAATTTAAATGTAAAGGTGATCCTAGATGAACCTCTGCACCTTCCCTTAACATCTCTCCTTATTCTTTGGCTTTTTCCCCAATTTAAATGTAAAGGTGATCCGCAGCTCAGGGGCCGAGAGCAGCAGGAGGCAGCCACATGTGGCCTGCAGGACAGGCTGGACCTCACACTGCTCGGTGGCAGGTCAACCCTCAAACTCAGAACCGTCTGGACTTCTCCTTGAGGTCGCCCACTGTGGGGCAGTTTCTGCCAGACCTTCAGCAAAGTCAGTGTCCGGCCGGAGTGAGGGTCCTGGGGGTCGGCCATCTCCATCTTTTTCACACCTCCCAGCCCCTGCCCCAGCAGAACCAAACAGTTCAATGTCTAAGGACAGGTTTAAAAAAAAAACAAAAAAAAAACCAGCCCTTTCCTTCCCATGGACTGACTTTTGATATATTTTTTTCATCATCATGAAAAGAACTGGAGTCTACCCAAATGTCTGTTAGGAAAAGACATAAATAAAGCAGGGCCCACACCCCAGCAGCAGCACGTAGCTAGAGATAAACCAGGACTTGTCAGGAGAGACAGGAGCCTCTCTGGGCTATCTGTCGGGGCGACCCGCAAGCATCAGGCCAAAACTCAAAAACTTTCCAAAACAGCCCCATGGCTAGCAGAGCAGAGCAGAGCGTGTGCAGAACGGAGAATTTGGGGAGGAGGAGGGTGGGGAAGAGACAGAAATGTACAATCTCCGGTGCTTATCATGTGACAATCATAGCAAGAAAACAAACTGGCCCATTGGCAGGGGCAGGGGCGGGGACTCTAGTCCAAAGGTTTTTCCAAGTAGAATGAGTCACCAAGTAGAAGGGGACAAATAAGCAAATATAGAAACCCCAGAGCTGCTATCAGGAGCAGGGGCAGGGCCTTCCCTGCAGCGAGTGGCCTACCCAGACACCTTGAGGGGCGGGAGCAGGAAGGGCACCGGATGGAGAGATCCAGAGCCTGGCAAGCGCCCTCCACCGTCACCACAACAAAACATGCAAAAGGAGAACCGAAACCCGACCAAGGGTGAAGCCGGTTGCGTAAAACGTTGTGCAAATAACAGAAAGGGGACGAAAAATCCAAAAGATATCAGCACGCCCKCGCACCGAACACTGACGCTCCTTCCCTGGAGGGGGCGTCCCACGTCACCAGACAGCCAGCCCTCGACTCCCGGAAAGCCACTCCTCTTCACCAAGCAGGGGTGGCTTCAGATAAGACCAGCCTGCAGAGCCAGGGACAGCAGAGAGCAGGATGCAGGATGGAGCCGGGCAAGGCCAGCTCCAGCCTTAAGAGATGTTGACCTCTTACTCACCCCAGACTCATGACCACCTCATTGTCACACATTACCCTAGAGGAGCACCCACCCCGGCGCCATCTTGGCCTGTCCACCTTCAGCCTATGGAACTGGCCCATATAAGATTAAAGGAAGGTCGGGYCCAGCCTCCTCACAGTAGAAAGTCATAAATAATCCTCCACTCGGTAACTAAAATCCCCCCTGCTCCATTCACTCTTATAATAAGGACCCTCATCCTTTGTTTGGGGAGAAGATGATTTATGAGTCAATCTTTTCTTCTGCTGCTCTCTGGCCATGAGTCAACCCCCTTCACTGCTCAGTGAACTCTCAGTGTCAGTATTGGTTCCTTGATCCCAGGAGGGAGAAAGAAGCCAGATTTGGGGCCAGAAGCTAACCCCTAGGGACAGAGTACCCAGAGGGCAGGCAGGAGAAGTGGTGAAGGACAAACGATTTGGACACGTGGTTTAAGGATGAAGCAAAGCCATCAAGTAGAGGCAGTCTGTCTACTCAACTAGCAAAAGGGAGGAAAAAGTTACCCGCCGATGCTGGAGAGAGTTCTGTAAATGGGGCAAGACCTACAGTGGTGCCCCGTCCCGACCTGGGTTCGCTTATTGAAGGTCACCCACAGGCTGAGATGTTCAGTGGAAATTTTCAGAAATGCACAACTCACGTTTTATGTGACTTATTAAAGCACGTTGTTATAACTGTTCCGTTTTATTATTAATTATTGTTGGCACCTCATATGGTACCTAATTTGTAGGTTAGACTTTATCACAGGTACACATGCCTGGAAAACCCCGCATACCTAGGGATCCGTACCATCCACAACCCCAGGCATCCACTGGAAGTCTAGAGATGAATTCCTCAAGGATGGCACTTCTCTCCCACCGTGGGAATCATGAATATATATAAATAAGTTTCATGCCACCTTTTTCTTGGTCAAAACAGTAGGCAATTAAGGACAAAGTTGGAAATGATCAAGTGTCTACAGAAAGGTTATTAAGAAGGTGGCTGTAACCTACCTACCTACCTCCCTCTCTCTCTCTCTACCTCTCCCCCTCCCTCCCTCCCTCTCCCTCTCCCTCTCCCTCTCCCCCTCTCTCTCTCTCTCTCTCTCTCTCTCTCTCTCTCTCTCTCTCTCTCTCTCTCTCTCGATTTGGAATAACTGTGACCACAAAAGGCCAGCCAGGAACATTACGATGCAACCCACAGGAAGGAATCCTGGATCCAGCCATGGAAACAAAGGAGTTTTCCCTCTGTCTTAGGCTAGTTTAAATGGGGGAGAAGGGGAGTTCTCAACTGTTGGTGGAAGGTGGGGGATAACAGCACAAAGGATCTAAAATTCAGATGCTGTAATCTCAACGTCTGCTTTACATGGACAAAAGTCATTCCAAACACCATTTAAAATGGTGTACATCACCAGTTTTATGCCACATTCTGTGTATCCACTCTCCAGGAGATAGACACCATTTGATGACTTATATTCTTTTGCTGGTGATAAAACTCTTGCTCTTAAAGCTTTTTCCCTATTATTTAAATACATTTGTGGGGGACACACAAAAACATTCAAATAATAGGGGAAAGGCTTTGTGAGTTGAAATTGCATCCCCCTTGAGAGGTAATAAGAGGATGGAAACTTATTCTGACCACTGCGTTTAGAGGTGGATCTTCTGGAGGAGAGTGGATTAGATAAGGTCACGGGGTGGAGCCCCCATGGTAAAATATTGGTGACTTCATGAGGAGGAGAGAGACAAGACCCACAGACATACGCATACTCCCTGCGTCTCACCATGCGACGCCCCATGTCTGGTTGGGACTTTGTCAACAAAGGACCACCACCAGATTCAGTCCTTCAAACCTCCAGAACTGTGAGCTTTATATAAACCTGTTTTCTTTATGAAGTTATCCAGCCTCAGGTGCTTGTCTACAGTAAGGAAAAGGGGACTAATCCAAATTTGAATCACTTTTGTTTTAGGACAATGGGATTAATGCTTACAGGATAATATAAGTGAATCACACTTCCCTGTATCTATGAAATCGTGAGCAGCCCCTTCTCATGCCGATTCTGGGTTTGGCAACAGGACACACTTTGGCTAATGGACATTTGCAAAGTTATGCAAACAGAGGCTTGAAAAGTGTCTGGACCAGCCTGCTAGAGATCACCTGAGGTGGGGCCCCAAGTGCCCCAGGTGAGCCAGATGTCAGTGAGACCACCAGCCCCAGTCAAACCAGCTCAGGGCAAAAGAAACACCAGAAGGACCCTCAGCATAGAGAGAAAGAATAAATGTCTTCAACCTGTGCCTTCTGGGGCAGCGTATTATACAGCAGAAGTTGACARGAACACCTTAAGCTATTTAGGCAAAGAGCTAAAATGCTTTGCAGATAAAATTAGCATTTTACCTAGAACAGGGAAACTCAAGGCCACCAAAATGTCTATAAAGAAACAATGGTTCCGTGGCAAATTAAACCCTGTGTAGCCAGTATGCACTGATCCCAAAGGCTATAGGGGCAGACGGTGTTAGGCCAAAGGAAGCCACTTCTGAGTGTGGATTCRGCACACGTTAGGTCTGTGCCAACATAAGACCAGCCGAGCCCTGAGGGAAGGGACGGGTGTCATGCTGCGGACAAGGCTGAGTGTGGTGCGCTCACTGGCCCAGCACGTGCRAAGCTCTGGGCTAGATCCCAGCACCAGCACCAGCACCACAAAGATTTCTTCAATAAAGTAAAAATGGGTGTCCAAAAAGGGCAAATACGACCCCCCCCTGACTGGTAAAGATGACTGTTTCAGCAAGGGCACTTCTATTTTCTAGAATTTACGTTTTTTAGTGGAGGACCACAAGTAGTTTCCATGTGTCCTTATTCTTTTCCACAGGTCTCCGCAGGCCAATGGGCTCTAAGTCCCCATTAGAGTGGAACATTTGGGTTTCAAGAGTAGATGTGGTCCCAAGGGGCCACAGAGGGAGGCTGGCCTGGCTATGGGAGGACTCTCAAAGTTCCAGGAGATCAGACTGTGCTGCCTCCACCCCGTTCAGGGTGAATAAACTGTGCCCCACAGACCAAAGGCAGCCTGCACCCAACTCGGAGGGCACAGCTCAAGGCAGCGAGAGAGACTGGGGACAGAAGTGGGAGCAGTGGGCAGCCATGCTGTGTGGCTCTGAGCCTAAGGACAGTATCTGGGGGAAGCACTTGGGCCAGAGCCAAGGCAGAGGAAGGGGGGACCTGGATGGCGTGAGCCCAAAGCCAAGACCCTTACCTCATCACCGTAGCGCCGGTAGCTCACTTCGTACAGCACGATCAGACCGTTGGGTTCCTTGGGCTCTTGCCACATCAAGTGAACGACGTTGTTCTCGAAGATTTCGTGGGTCACAGGGCCGACGATGTCATCTGCCTTGGCTGTAAGCAGCAGCAGTTAGAGGCTGGGCTGTAACTCGGATCACACCCACCGCTGCCACCTGACGGCTTGGCACTGTGACACTGACTGCCCCACGTCCCGCTCCTCGTCAGAGGACGGGCTATCAGACTCCACGGTGGTCAGAAAAGGTCTCTGGGTTATTCTCTTCACCTACCTTTTCTCTCATTTCACACTCACTACACATTGCAAAAACGGGTCAGAGGTGTTCCCTRGACTCTTCCTGCGCTTCCACCAATAAAATACCCATATACATCATCAATGGTATTGATAAGGATGGTCACGTGAGGAGAACTGGTCCCGGGACCCCCCCCCATCTCAAAGTCCACAGATGCTCAAGTCCCTCTTACAAAGTGGTGCAATCTGCACAGAACCCAAGTACATCCTCTGTAGACTTTAAACCGCTGGATGGCTTGTCTCATACAATGCACATCACTACGCTGCACTCTATGGAATTATGACAAATGGAAATTTTTTCTAAATATTTTTCATCTGTGGTTGTTTGATGGGGGCATGCAGAACCCTTAGGTAGGGCGGACCACTGTACGTTCTTAAAACTAGGAAACTGACACCGATTGCCTGCTATAAACTAGACTGCATTTTTCTTTGGGTTTAAATAGATGATTTGTGAAAAGCACTTTGAACATGAATGACAAATGTGTGCTTTGACAAATTGATACATTTCTGGAGGATCCTTGTAACCATAATGGGTTGTCACACCACGTAGACTTTGAAGAAGCAATTCCAATTCAACCCATAGATTTGAATGAAATACTTGGACAGGTGTGTCAAGCCGCTCATCTAAGTGTTACTTTTTAAGTGGGACATTTCAACACAGCCACCGACAGACCACTGAGAAAGGACTTTTAAACCAAACATGCAGGCTCACTCGAAGCTGAAATACCATGCCATCGACCCATGACACCGCTTCACGAGCCTCCTCATAAAGTGAGCTGAAAGCGATTTGCAGGAATATTACTCTGCCTTTAAAAGGAAGAATGTTCTGCAGTATGCAAAAACATGACGAAATAGCAGGACATCAGGCTAAGTGAAATCAGCCAGGCACAAACTAGCAAAGACCAGGGGCCCCACCTACAGGAGGCCACTGGAGTCTGGGGATCCACAGAGATGGGAGGCAACGAGGCAGGAGCCAGGCTGGGACGGGACAGGGTCAGTGTGACGTGGGACAGAGCTCAAGTGTGGGGAGAGGAGAGCTGTCGGGGTTGTACTGTGTGAACGTGCTTCACGCCCCTGGACTGTGCACGTCAGTGTGCCGGCTAAGATGGTAAATTTCATGTTCTGTGTAGTCACAAAAAAAAAAAAAAAACAGAAAAAAAAGAACAAAAATTGTACAGGTGGAGCCATCTGAGTAAATAAAGGTCTGGGAAAACATAAAAAGACTAATCAGGGCTCATCTTAGGAATTTAGGGGTGACTAAATTCAACCTTTCTTACTACACGTGATGATGAATTTTATGTGTCAATGTAGTACATGGTGCTCAGATATGGGCCGAAGATTGTTCCGAGTCCTTCTGAAAAGCTGCTTTTTGGATGAGATCAATATTTACATGGGTAAATTGAGTAAAGCTGATGACAGGCCACAGTGCGGGTGGGCCTCGTCCAGTCAGTCGAAGGCCTCGAGAGAACACAGGCGGAAGCCCCCCAGGCAAGGAGGAATTGGGCCACAGATGGTCTTTGGACTTGAACCGTGACCCTCCCCTGGGGTTTCCAGCCTGCTGGCCAACTCTGTAGAGTTTAGATTTATCCAGATTTCCAAACTGCAGGAGCCAATTCCTTAAAATGAACTTCTCTCCTTCCACACAAGCGTGGGCGTGCGCACTCACGGTGGCCATTCAGTACAGGAGGGATGGGTTCCAGGGCCCCCCACAGGGACCAAAACCTGCAGGTGGAGGTTCTGTGAAGTGAAGGATGTCTGCCCACACCCTCCAGTGGGCTTTAAATGGTCTCTAGTTGTCTTTAAAATCTTCATGGCGTAAACGCCGTGTACCCTGTTGTCACATTGTGCTGTTTAAGCAGCAATGACAAGGGACACATCAGGACAAGAAGTCGGCACTGGGGCCATTTTTTTGTTCTGAATCCGTTCTATCTGCAGTTGGCCAAATCGTGAAAATGAGTAATAGATGTAATCAAAACCAGAGACTGTGTGCTCCCACCTAGAGGAGGCCCGTTCCCAGTCATGGAGACAGAAACACAGGGACTCGGCTCTCTGCAGGGCTCTAAGTGCCAGGCACGATTCTTAATTCCACTCTCTCTCYCCCCATTGACGAGGATTTTCCGCGGTTTACACAATCAGCTACGTGTGACTCTTGTCATTAGAGACCCAACACTCCGGGTGTGGTGGCGCAGACCTGTGGCCCCAGCTACTGGGGCRGCCGAGGCAGGCTTGGGCACACAACCAGAACCCACCTCAAAACACCAACCCACCAGGACACAGAACCCCAAGGAGCGGCCGGCTCCACCCGCGCCCACCTTCGGGCATGGTGCGCGCGCTCACGTAGGCGGCCACGCTGCACCTCGCCTCGGGCGYGTCCTGGTTGCAGGCCTGCAGCTCGATGCGGTAGCCGGTGAAGTGGCGCAGGCCCGAGATGACCAGCGACTCCTTGTTGACCACCTTCTCAAAGGGCCTGTGCTCCTCCTGGCTGGCGGGCGCGCTGGGGGAGCTGCTGGGGAGCGCCGGGGCCGGGGCCGAGGGCACGGGCTCCGTCACATTCGCCTCGACACCCAGGGACCTGCGTTTCCGAGACGGTCTGTAAAGGCGACAAAACACACGGGGTCACGCAATCACCAACTCAAATAGGACGACAACGGAGAGAATCCAAGCGGAATCAAGAAGAACGGGGTGCAGGGGGTGTGGATTAAAATGTGGATCGCCAAGAATTACGCCCAGAGGACCTTGGGAGACCTTCAGTGGAGGGCAGACCCACCCTGCCAGGGAGGGGTGGCCCCAGGGCCCTCAGCCATAGCCACCTCCCAGAGTCCCTTCAACATGCTCAATTCCAGGTTTTCAACTGGCAGAGAAATAGGCCACCAGGGTCAGTGTTAAAAAAAAAAATTAAGATGCCCAAAGCAGGCATGAGCCCAGCTATTCCAGAGACCTGCCACAGGGCATTTGCCCAGTGGCCCAAGCTGTGACCCACACCATCAATTTCCTCATTCTGGTGTAGGGTACTAGGTACTAGAACATTTGAGGAAGGAAGCTTTAATCCAGGTAAAAGACTTATCACAGGGTTGAGTCAGAACAACTCCAAGACCAGCCATCCAGGTGACATGCTTCTCCCCATCCCTTAAAGAACTATGTCTCAGAATTGAGGAAATGCAACTGGCCCCTGGCTTCCTTTGAGCAATAACTTTTCCTATAAATATTCTGTGTGGTAAGGAGGAGGCTCAAGCGGATTGTGCAACTTGCTTGTCCYGGTGGAAGCATTCGTTAAATATTTTCCTTAAAACATAATGTCCCAAGTAGGCTAGGGTTGCAGTGTTTTCTCTCAGGGTCAGGGATTTCCCCAATCAATTATAAAGGGAGCACGTGCTCCCTGCAGGAAATTTGGAAACCTTGATTGGCCATAAAATATTCCACTTAACGCATGAGTCACCCTTCACGTAGCCTGCCTCCGGTTTTTCARCGAGTCCTCCCTGGGGGCCAGGAGCGTGGCTCGGTGCTAGGCACATGCTGCGCAGGCACGAGGCCCTGGATTTGATCCACCACCACCCTCCTGAAAAGTACTCCCAAGTTTGTCTTACTATTACAAATACTGCTTTCATCTTTCTCCGATTGTCTCAGGAGTTCCTAAAAGTAGATTCTTAGAAAATGTCACTAGGTTCAAGAGGATGTGAAACCTCCACGTCTTAACACGTATGGCTCTACTGCTGGCTGGGAACCGTACTGACTGGTGCTTCTCACACCGGGTGGTCCCTGAGACACTGCTCCAGAACAACCTCAGCAACCTTGAGGGTTAAGAGTCGAGAGTCCCCAAGTTTCAACCTGAGATTTTAACCCAGCATCACCCACTGACATCTGAAGCTCCTCCTGTGGATGTGGCGATCCCCTTCTCCTGGTGGGTTCTTTGACTCTCTCCTGGGAATCGTCCCTCTTCGTCCTTTGTCTAATTTTCTGTGACTCTCTAGCGCCTTCCTTCCTGTGACTCCCACACTGTTTATTCAGACATTTGGATCTTACGTGATTTAGACATTTGACTCTAAGGTCATACACAAAAGTCTAAGGATATTAACCTTCTACCTGTCGTGTCGTATAATCTACCCTAGCTGGCTGTTTGCTGGTGAACTTCAAATGGTTTAAAACACATTTGTTCACACGAATTTGTAAAAATTGATATATCACTTAAAAAAAATCTCTGTTGTTGCCTTTCTAGGTATTTCTAGATAGGGTTATCACACCACGAGGGTACTGAAGTTTTATGGCAATTGTAAAAGGGGTCTTCTCTATTTTTATATTCTAATTATTGTAAGAATATACTAACTTTGGGTTTATTTATGTTGTATCTACTTTCCCCAAATGCTTGCTCAGTCTAAAGTTTTCATGGAATCAAAAAAAACTAGAAAGGGGGTTAGCACACTTTTCCCACAAATGGCTGGATAGCATATATATCGCAGGCCATACCTCCTGTCCCATGCCCAGTTCTGCTATAGCTTAAAGGCAGCTGGGGATGACAGGTAAACAGGTGGATACGGTCTATTCCAACACAAGTTCATTTATAAACCAGGCAGCCAGTGGCCCATGGGCCACAGTTTACCTACCTGAACTAGACTCTGCAAATCAATGATTTTTTTTTTTTTTTTAACAGCTAGGGGTTTTGTGCGTGCTAAGCAGGTGGTCTCCCACTGGGCTACACCTCAGCCTCTCCTGCTCCATTCACTGCGATTCTAGCTAGTTTCATGTCTTATTGGTCAGATGGCTAGAGAAAAACTCAGTAGGAATGATATTGGGCTTMTTTGGTTTTTTCCCCTAACTCTAGTAAGTCTAAAGACTGGTATCAGCTTGGCTGTTAGGTAATATTTATCTTGTTGAATTAGTCTATTCCTAGTTTTATAAGAGGCCTCTTTTTTCCCCCCTGAGAATTTTAAATGAATGTATTCACTGTCCAGATAATATGGAACATTACTATTTTCTTCAGATCCTAGTTTTATACCACTTTCTAGATTCTCTGGTTTTCCCTTTACATTATACATTTTTTTAATATCAATTCTCAGTACATTTATATTTGTTAATTTTTACCAATTTATTTTCTTAATTCATGAATCCATTTACATCCACTAATTCTACTAAAGCCAAGCTTTGGCAAGATTCATTAAGATACGCAACATCCACATTTTCATTACTTTTTAAATAGACTTTAATGGAAGTTTCAGTTTCTGCACCAATTCTAGATATTTAAGTGACAGACTTCATTTTCTATTCCAGCCTTTGAAGTTACTTTTGGTTTTCATTGCTCTTCTGTCAGAAATGTGTGGTCAGGAAACAGATCCTAAATTGGGGTAAGCCACTGAGGTTTTCTCTGTGGCGTGTTGGTGTTGAGACCCCAGCAGCGTTCTTGGGTGACAAAGGAAGCAGCTGCTGAGCCTAAGACACATCCAACCCCGCAGGAGCCAGAAGCCTCCGAACAGGCATGAATGAGACTGGGGAAAAGAGCCCAGAGGCTCGAGACTCAGAGCCCYGAGAAACTCACACCTGAACACCTGGAGACAAGACTGTCTCGTCAGCCGGCCACAGGGCATGTCCAGGAGGACATCAGCTATGACAGGCCGCTTCATTTTCACCACTAAATGTTTGTGGTAACCTTGTTTTGGTAAATCTGTCAGCACCTTTTTTCAACGATTCAAGTGATTTTTTTTTTTTAACAATAAATCTTTTAAGTCTAATTAAGGTACTTTTTTTTGGGGGGGGGGCACTGGGGATGGAAGTCAGAGGTACTTGACCACCAAGCCACATCCCCGCCCTATTTTGTGTTTTATTTAGAGACAGGGTCTCATTGAGTTGCTCAGCACCTCGCTTTTGCTGAGGCTGGCCTTAACTCACGATCCTCTCGTCTCAGGCCCGCTGGGATTACAGGCATGTGCCACTGTGCCCAGCTAATTACGGTATTTTTAAGAGACACTGCTTTCGCATACTCACTACTCCATGGTACAGCGGGAACATGACTTTCCTGTGCACTGGGGAACCAAGTGTGGGACTTGCTTAATGTCCACGTTTGCTTCACTACAACTATAGGACCAGCCTGCCTTCCAGACCCCCGTGCAGAGTATCAACCGCATCCTCCACTCTCCGCAGAGGCAGCATGTCCCTGAGTCTCATATAGCACCCTGGTCTCAGGCAGGGGTGCCTCTGCCCCCACCCCTCTGGCCACGTCTGGAGACGTGTTTGGTTGGCAYTACTTTCCAGAGGGTGGAGGCCGGGGCTGCTCAACATGACAGTGCCAGATGGCCCTCTCCAGAGGACGATCCTGTCCCCAACACGCCCAAGGGATGAGTGAACAATCCTTCTGGGAGCCAGAGCCACAATTCTGAAYGCTTCTTAACTCCAGAGCATATTTCAAATGGCCACTAGAGGTCAGATGAGGCCACGAGGTACCTGGGACCACATGAGCTAAAGGGACTTCCTTCCACTCTCCCTGCTGTCCCCAGCATGGGCTTCCGCAGCTCTCCTCCTCCCCTCCTTTCATTAAGACACATGGAAGGGAAATGTCCCTTAACGTGATTCAGTGCATGACATTCCTTTGCTCTTGCTGTGTCACCCAAATAAAAAGTTCTCCGTCTGGATCAGTGTCCCCACATGGAGTGGAAACTGCCAGAGTGGGACACCCTGCTGAGTGTGGCTTGGACGCCCAGCAAGGGCACAGTAGGTGAGCGGTCGCGGGGGAACYGAGGCCCGAGGCCCCGTCCAAGAGGGACTCCTGGATTGGCGTTTTAGGAAGTGTTAGTTAAGATTTCCCCACATTCACACCCGGATTCCGTTCCCGAGTGAAGACGTTTGATCGGTGGATTTGTGAAGCGCCCAGTCTCAGCAAGCAGCCCACCACATGCAGAAAGCCGCAGAAAGCCACAGAAAACCTCGAGACCTCCAAGGTCACCACAGCCCCCGCCCGCCTGGCCCACAGGCCTGGCACTGGAGAGCCACAGGGCCACTTGGACGTCTCCCGGGTGAGTCGTACCTATGGTCCTCGGCACCACTGCCCGAAGAGGTTTTTCTGTGAAAACAAAACCAACCACTTTGAAGGCAGGTGGACTCCACCAGGTGGGCCTGCTGACCGACACCCCGCCGGAGGCCCTGTCCTGGGCGAGCGAGAGCCCTGCTGGCTTCGGATGTGGTCCGAATGTGTCCCCCAGGTTCACATGTGGGGGTTTGGTCCTCAACATGGTGATAAGAGGTGACGCCCAGTGGGAATTCACTACTGCCCCTCCCCGTCTGTCTCTGGCTTCCTGTCTCTCCATGTGACCTCTCCCCCACACTCCTACGATGCATGATGCCATCCACCATGATAGGAGGTGGCCAAGGGGGTCTGGATCATGGGGGCTAGCTGATCTGGACTTGCAGCCTCCCAAACTGTGAGCAAAATAAACCTCTTTTCTTTCCAAAAGACCCAGCCTGGGGTATTGTTATAGTAACAGAAAACAGACTAATACAGGAGTCCTGCCCTTGGCCTCCCATCACTGATTGGTCCTTCCCCAGCAAGCGCAGGGAAGCCAACAAGGGGGATGGGGAGCCAGAGGAAATACTCCCCAGAGACTTGGTCTTCTGGGACTCCTTTAGGGGGTGGAATCTGGCGACACTTGCCCTCAACCAACTTAGCCATTTCCCCAAGTCTAGCAGCTTTTTGTTTTTAATGAGTCAACAGTAAGTGCTTTGATGCCTGGGAGGCACCACTGGATGCTCTTTTGGACTCRGGGTCATGGGGAAAAATGCAAAGAGGACGACACGACAGCAGCAGCGTTCACACTCTGAAGGTTCTGGGAGACGTCTGCCCAGTGGGCAGCACTGGTCAGTGCTGGGACGGACATTATTCTAGAACTCTGTCCCAGGCCAAGCCCTCTGGGGTTTCCACTCTGGAAAAGGACAATTGCGTCAGGCATTTCTGGGGGCCCACCTGCTCAAGTCCTGGGGGAAGGACAACAGGATGGAGAGGTAGGTGGGGGCCCAGKGCAGACACTGAACGCCCACAGTCCCGGGGACGCCTGGCAGCACTCTGGGTTGTCAGGTCTGGGGTGGGAGACGCTACTGGCATTGGGTGTCTGGAGACCAGAGATGCTGCCGACGTCCTGCCAAGCGCAGGTCAGCTCCTGCCCACAGAACCACCTGGTGCCAGGTGTCAGTGGTGAAGGTGGAGAATCCTGGTAACCCCTTCACTGTCACAGCCCCAAACACAGTAAGGTTTGCAGGCAGCGCTCGGCATCCGGGGGTTGGCTCCACAGGGGAGACCACCAGCCACGGGTGGCAAGGGTCTGCAGGGAACCCTGCCTCTGTCCTGGCAAGCACAGACTTTTCCTGTCGCTATTCCTCGATTTAAAGTCTCTGCCAACACCACACCATTTACATAGGGTCTTGAGCATGTGTCCTTGGGGGTCCTGGAACATCCCCACAAATAGCAAGAGTCAACTGTACTGTGTCTATTTTACAGACGAGGATGCTGAGGGACAAGGTGACATAGCCTCAGCAAGCCAGTTCACAGCAGGGCAGGGAGCCCAGCCTTCCCGAGGGGCTTCCAGAGTCCCTGCCCCCCACCGCTCCACAGCTCTGCAGACACTGACGCCCAGGAGGGTGCRTGGGGGAAATGCTGCATCCACAGGTGCGTGTCCGCCACGTGGGACTTTCCTTGCAGGAAAGGAAAACGAGTGGATTTAAAGCTCTGAGTGACTTTTGCTGCGTGCCTCCTCTGGAGGCCAGAGACACCTCATCCAGCGCCTCTCCTCACTTAAGGAAACTCAACCTATTTAAATAGAAGCCTCTGGGCTTTGAGGATCTCTGGAACATTCCGAAAGGATGAATCTTACATGAATTCAGAAAGAGGGGAGGGATCGAGTTTGAGATTTAGCAGTAAATCAAGTATGGGGCGCAGGCAGGCCTTTCTCAAGCTTTGCCTAATAATCAAATGGAATTTGTTTCACAACTAGGGTGGAGAGTGATCCAGTAAGAAAGGTAGATGTCAGGGTATATAAATTTCCCTTTTGTGTGATTGTTTACTCTTGTTGGAAGTGGACCCGTTGAAATCTCAAGGTTCTTTGGTTTTTTTTCCCTAACTGGGAATTGAACCCAGGGAGCCACAACCCCAGTCCTTTTTGAGATAGGGTCTCACTAAGTTGCTGAGGCTGGCCTCAAACTTGTGATCCTCCTGCCTCAGCCTCCCAAGTGCCCGGGGTTCCAGGCGTGCACCACCACATGGTAAAAATCACAAAATTTTTTGCTCCATCGGGGAGAGGCCCAGCTCGCATTCCACCCACCCGCGGTGGTCTCTGGGGTCCACCTCCTCTCATTCTGTAAGTACTGACCCCCGAACACCAAGCCAAGAGACACCAAGAGAACCTGGGGCTATAAGAGGCCGAACCTGGGGACGAAAACGACGTTGTGCAGGTAATCCTCAAAGGTCTTCCGAAACGAGGACTCCTCCAGCTCCTTCAGAATCTGAGAGTCGGTCTTCGGGCAGGTGCAGCACTCTCCGGCAGAGTCCTCGTACTCGCTCTGATTGTGCTTCTGAGAATCGTCCGATTCGAACGGCGGGGACCACGTGCGCGAGGGCAGCTTCAAGCCTAAGGGAGGCAGAGGCAGAGGTTCAAGCCTCCCCCAAAACACACTCATACAGAGCAAAGGGTCTTCTCAGAGGGGCTGGACACAGGTGACAGGGCCCAGGGTCCAGCTCCTCTCTCTGGAGGGACTTGCCAGTGTCCACTGGGAGAGCACGTCAGTGTGTTTTAGAAACCGACACCAACGTCGCTGGGCTGGAGAGTGTTAGGAATCGAGGAGAAGCCTCCGTGCTCTACAATAAACCAGTAAACCAGGGTCAGATGGCACAGAAGGGCCAAGGGTGTCCGCAGGTCCCATACGGAACAGTCTCAGAGAAGAAAACTGCTGAGCCAGTCCGAGTTCAGCCACACACACAACGTGATGGAGAGTGCTTCCGTTGGTACAAACGGCAAGTGCAAAGGCCCCGAGTCAGGGGTGTTCTTGGCATATGGAAAACGCAAGGGACCCATGTATCTAGAGTGGGGCAAGGGAAAGGACAGTGGGAAACAGGGCTGTCACAGTAGAGAGAACAAACGAACCCATCAGCCACGCAAATGTGAAGTGGTGAGAAGATGAAGCCAACTCCACCCAGAATTCCAGGGGTCCACTGGTGGATTCAGAGTCAGACTTGACCAGCGGTTCCCCCTGAGGGGTCATCTCACCCCGCCCTGTAAACACCCTGCAGCCTCCGGAGACATCCTCGGAGTCCCACCTGGACTGGGGGTGCCRTGAGTGGAGGCCAGGGAGCTGCTCAACACCCCACGATGCTCGGGAAGGCCCCTCCTCAGAGAATGGCCGGCCCCCCACATCCAGAGTGCCATGGTCGAGGCCTCCCTGAACTAAGGCCAGAGGGAAGTGGGGTTCAAACCTCCCAGGTAGGGGAACCGAGAAGAGCGGGAGCGCCCACCCCCCAGGGCCCTAGCATTGCCAAGCTGCTGCCTTTAAAGTCCCGGCTGCCCGTTTCAGTCCCCAGGTCAAGTCCTTGGGGCTCCCGCAACCCATACTGCGCGCAGCCGGGCTCCACAGCCAGGAGCCAGGACGCTGCGCCGCAGGCCATCTCCCGCTGGGAGGAAGGGACGTTGGATGGGACACAGGTGTGGTTCCAGGAGAAGAAGAAGGTAAACATGTCAGTGGACCAGGGGGCGCTGGTCTGGGGCGGCCCAGGGAGCTCTCCATGGGTCTCAGTTGGAGTCCTGAGGTTGGGGCGGGGCGGGGGGGGGGGGGGCTGCACTACACCAGCGCCCTCAACGCCCTCAACGCCTCCGAACTGTGCACTGGAAAGGGTTAAACGGTGGACTCTGTGCAGTGTATTTAGCCACAATTTTTTTTTTTAAGCCACACTCATAGAAAGCTACTCCTGGCCTTRGGGAGTTCATCTAGTGTGCATTTATGTCTGTTTTAAACTGTCCAAAATAAACACGAGATTCCCCATTTTAACCGTTCTGCAATGCAGACTACGGTGCCATCGGGTATATTCACAACATGGGCCCATCACCGCCACGTCCCTCTCCAGAGCTTCCTCGTCTTCCCCAGCTGGAACCCTGTCCCCTCCAACACGGACTCCACCCTCCCAGCCCCGACTCAGGGACTGCCCAGAGCAGAATCCTGCAGGATGCGTCCTTACCGAGTTTAATTGTGGAAACAAAGTCACACACCTACAGTGACACTTAAACAGTCACCTGGTAATCAGATCTAGACTCACAGAATGAAAGTTGTTCTTTAAAAGAAGGAAAAAAAAAAAAAAAGGAAAGCTTTGACGTTGCCAGTGGATACTGGCAGACAGAGCCCACAGGAGGAGCTGAGCCGAGGCCCAGGCTTGCTCTCGAGTTATATAAAGCATCAGGAGTCAATCAGTTGGCAGTCCTGGGCTGAGGAAGGGATGATGTCAGAGGYATACATATAGCACATGATCTGGGAGCTGGGACGGCTCCCGGAGATCAGCTGTCCCCCACCCCTTCTCCCAAAAAGGAGGCAGACTGTAAGGGCTGGGTGGCTGGGCCAACACCCTGGGGCAGGTCAGGGACTGAGCCAAGGGCAMGACCTCGGCCACTGCTCTCCCACAGCCCCCTGCTCCTCCAAGGTCATGGACTGAGGACACCGAGACTGAAAACATTGCAAGAAAGTGAATTAGAGACAAAATAAATAAAGGAATAGAGCCCTTCAGTTTATTTGGTTTAGGGGAAAACAAAACAAAACAAAAACACCTTTAGCTTTTTTGAAATGTCCTCTATTGTCAACTATGGCACTCATCTGTGCCGTGGARCACCACCAGAACTGTATCCTGTCCCTGCAACTCTGCAGCCACTGTCCAAAAACTCAGGGATCAGATTTTAAAGGTTCTCATCACAAAAATGATCAATATGCTCATTGCTCAAAGTTGACTTTTACCCATTGTGCACGTATGGAAACGTCACACTGTATCCCACCAATATGTACAACTGCAGTTGTTGTGCATTCATACAAATTAAAACAAACACAGTTTTAGARTATTTTCAACTAGTGCATACCAACTAGTTCAAGGCTTCAAATATTTCTCCATTCTCCCTCAGATGGATGGGGGACCTTGCAGCAAACAAGACTAAAGACTGAAAAAACAACTGTCATGAGCATCAAGTGTTGGCAGAAGGCACAGGAGCAGAGAGCRCTGACCGCTCCCTGCCGTTCCCAGCCCTTTAAACCCGGGAACCAGAGTCCCTCCCTGGCTTGGCCTAGGACCTCTCTGCAAGCCCAGCTGGCTCTGGTGTGGCAGAGAGTCTCAGGTGGTTCACACAGCGACACAGGGTGGTGGGGGAGGAAGGGGAAGCAGAGACCCCCAGGGGAGCATGGGGCTAAGACATGAAAGACAAGAGTCGAGCACCACTGAGCACCGGGACCCTGAGAAAGCATCCTTGGGGACCTTGGGGACCTTGGGGACCCCTGGTGTGTGACTGCGCAGTGTGCTTACACGTGCCAAGGCAGCCACTACTTCTCGAGGTGGCATCATCTCATGGGAACCCTGTCCTACCCTGGCTCACTGTTAAAGGGAACATCACGTGACCCTGATTGCACCCGGTTTTGACACCAGTCTTCAGAGGGTCTAGTTGCATAGTGTTTAAAGATGTGGACTTTCTTAGTGTGTAAGAGAGAATGTGCGCGCGCACCCTGGGAAGCAGGAGACAGCACCTGTGTCCCCCATAAGTGTCACACGGCGTGGCCAACCCACCACGGCTGCCCGTACTCACCTTTGAGACAATAATCCAACTCGTACAGCTCACTGTCTTCCTCCTGCCTTTCCCAGTAAACCAGGTAGTGCGTGATGTTGCCGTTGGGGTCCGAGGGGGGCTTCCACTTCAAGATGATCTGAGACGAGGAATTCGAAACCGAGATGGGATCCAGCGGGACGGAAGGATCTGCGAGAGAGAAGGAAGCAGGCCGACCGTGAGGAGGAGCGGGCTGCCGGGTGCACCAAGAGGGGAAGGGACACCCAAGTTACAGGACCGGGAGGCGGCGGCTGCAGTGTGTTTAACATCGGAGAAAACTGCCGACACAAGGAACGCTCGCCAGGCCAGGCCAGGCGAGGGTCACCAAGTCACAGTCCATCTGCACCACAGACGGCGTGGCCACATTCCCCCACTGACTTGGTGAACATGGATGGAGCCCCAGCACGCGCCAAGCTCCCTGCTGAGCACTGGGAAGATACTGCTGGGGAAGAAGGACCCCAGGAAGAGACCAGACTCATGCTATTGGTTCTAGTTGGCTCCAAATTGAACCTGGTCCCTGGGCAAACTTGAAGCCCCCAGCTGTCATCCAACATCCCCCACAATGCACAGCGTTAGGCTCCACAAACCATTCCCCTCAAAAAAAGAGGTGACCTAGGGAGTTGGGGAGGGAGGGGRCACTCAAGGTAGAGACAGCAGAGTGTACAAAGGACCCAGATGCTGGAAGTTTCTAGAAACCAGGCATGTGGCATCCATGGGAGACGGGCTGTGAGTGGACCAGCCCAGGAAGCAGAGCTGACTTGAAAGCTTGCCTTGTTCCCCATGGGGCAAGGGTGCTCACTCTCCGCCCTACGGACACTGGGGCTGGACGAGGCTGTCACAGGGAGCCAGCCATCCCCACCCCAGCTGGGTCAACCACCCGCGCCAGCAGACACTGCCTAGCGCTCCCTGGAGAGAGAGACTCGTCACTCTTTCAGAAGGGCTGCTGTGGGAGAAAGACTTGGGTTTTGCAAAACTAACTTAATTGCTAGGAAACATTCCAGTAAAAAAAAAGAAAATTAGAGGAGGAGGAGGAACGAAGGGGAAAAACACGGTAAAAATGGCAAAACGTGGAAGCCGGGGACAGTCAGCCATTCTTTCTAGCTTTCCAAATATTTGAAAAATTTAATAGATTGAAAAAATAAACGATTGCCCCCTTATCTATGGACGATGTAGTCGCAGCCCCCAGCAGACACCCAAAGCCTCACACAGCCCTGAGCCCTGAACACACTGTGGCCTCCCTATGGCAGAAACTCATTATAGATCAGCCACAATAAGAGAGACCAGCCATAATAGAACAGCTACACCCATTCACTACAGTGAGTGAGTGACAGCGATGAATGGTTTGCTTCTGGAATTTTCCATCAAATATTTCTGGATTGTGGCTGACCTCACATGATCAAAGTCCTAGAAAGCATGAAGCTCAGGAAAGGGGGACACTGTATACTCCCCCGTAAGGAGGTTTGTGGGTCCGCATCATCTTGTGAACACATCCCCCTCAGCACTCGGCTCCTGTAGAAGCCAGTAGCCATAAGAAGTCCCCTGCGTAGCGACTGGCAGGGTCCCCCCTGGTGAACAAATCCATATTCACAAAACATACGTACTGGTGGCATCCGTCTGCACATAGATGATGTCACTCTTGGCCCCGTAGGTCCGGCGCTCATCAGAAAAGGTGACCAAGGTCTTGACAAAGATGGCGTACTGGGTCCAGGGCTTGAGACCCCGCATCAGCCATCCGGGGTGGTGTTGGGGCTTGGGGTCGTTAGACCTCTGAGGGGGGTCGATGTCCACCACGGTCCAGCTGTTGGAGCCACATGCATCCTGCCCGTCAAACTCGGTCACRTTCTGATAAGGGCTTTTGAGACAAAGCAGAAGGAAGGGTTATTACCCTTGCAGTCCCTCGAGGTCACGACGTGGCCACTTCTCAGAGCCCCACGGGTGGTGGGGGACACTTCCAGCCCTAGGGCTGCTGCTTTCTCACCTAACAACCCTCTGCCACCAGGAAAAATGACAGCAGCCAAAGAGCAAGGAGCCCTCAGCCCTGACATCTCAGTGACCACAATGACAGCCCGAGGTCCCACTCACCATCTTCAACTTTCTGATGGTGCAAATATGGTGTGGACTTCCTTTAGATCTGAATTCTGATCTCCGGGGCTAGCAACCCACAGTGTGAGAACTGGTGGCTCCAGGCAGCTTGCAAAGGTGAAGAGCCCAGGCACTGCAGTGTGCCTGCTGCAGAGCGAGGGCGTTTGGGCAGTTAGGTGTGGCCGCTGCCCTTGGGCGGACAATATTTTCAACTCAGGTTATCAGGACATAGCCACATCCCAAGAGGAGGGACATCCGTAACAGCAGCAACTGGCCCATGAATCACTGATGTTATATAACAGAACATCTGGGAGTTCTTGACTGGCATGTGACACCTCTTGACATGTGGAATGTTGATTACTATGACTCCTAGGGCCACCTCTGCTGCCTCCCTTAAACTCCTAGCCTAAGTCAGGGACAGTGGCTCACACCTACAATGCAGCAGTGCAGGAGGCTGAGGCAGGAGGATTGCAAGTTTGAGGCCAGCCTTGGCAACTTAGTGTCTCCAAATAAGTAAATAAATAAGGCTGAGGATGCGGCTCAGCATTTCTATCCCTGGTACTAAAACAAAAGGAAAAAAGTCCCAGCCCAATCACATGCTAAAAAATACTACACGTGGTTTAATGTGTTCAGAATTTCTGCTTCTGAGGACAGAAGCTTTCTGGAGATGGAGGGGGGTGACAGCTGTACAACTCTGGGTATACTTGATGCCACAGAACTGTACTTTTAAACAAGGGTACATTTTGTCATATCCATTTTGCCACAATAAAAAAATTCTTGGGGAAAAAAAAATTGAAAACCTATTCTGCAGACTGCACTCCTGGGTACAGCAAACAGGCAAATGGAAGAGTGCAGATTCCCTGCCATACCTTAGTCTTAGCTACTCTCTTGAAGCCAAGGATTTGAGGCCAGCCTGGATAACACAGCACGGTTGTCTCAAAAGAGAGAGAAGAAAAATCCAAAGAAAAACTTTGTACTTTCAATTTTACTTTTGACAAAAGGGGGTGTTATTGACTTTGTATACCATCAACTAGTAAGGTGGTTAAAAGGAACCTAAGRCCAGGTGCGTGGCATACTCTTGTCATCCTCGTGGCCCAGGAGGGTGGCAAATGTAAGGCCAGCCTCAGCAAAAGTGAGGCACTAAGCGACTCAGTGAGACCCCATCTCTAAATAAAATACAAAATAGGGCTGGGGATGGGGCTCAGTGGTCGAGTGCCCCCAAGTTCAATCCCTGTTACCAAAAAAAAATTTTTTTTTAAATAAAAGATACCTAAGGTATTTATTCTACAGGGAGAAAGTGGGGCACAGAGAAGAACACCCTGGGACAGAACTAGCACCCATCTCCACCCCACTCCACAACTCTTTAGCCTTCTACTTACGCCTCTTTGTAGAAGAGCATAAATCCTAAGAGGTCCCGGAAGTCAGGGGGCCAGTACGGCTCCCATTTCAGCAAGATCTTGTCAAAAGATGTCTTAATGAAAGAAAATTTAAGTAATTCATTTTCACCTGGAAAAGTTAAAAAAAAAAAAATCAAGCTACTTCAGTAGGGAATAGTGTCAGGTCAAAGCTTGGGATCCCACACTTCCTGGAGGGCTGCCAGAGGGAGATGTCCACACGCTGTTCCCCAAATGGGTCTGGTCCCTGCAGCAGCAGAGCACGGGTCTTGCTGAGGGTGGACTGGGAGGCACTGGAAGCCAAGCACAGGTTGTGCAACGTGKCGCTTCAGGCCAACCAATTAATTGGGCAGACAAAGCTGAATAAGGGTGACATCTGGGTATCCCCAGCCTGTGTCCAGGTGAGGACAACCWGCCCATGGCTATCTAGACAAGGACTTTGCAGAAGTAACATTGCTCATGGACTTGCAAGCTGACATGGGAGAGGATGCTCCTTCTCGGGTACAAAGACACACACCAAGTGACTTTGACAGACTGGGACCAATAAACCTTGGAAAGACCCAGCTGAGTCATTCCCTGGGCCTGGGATGCAATCTCCCTCCTGCCCTCCACCCCAACCTAACCCTCAATGAACAGCGAGCGTCCTGCCTCAAGGGGCCAATTCCCCAACAGGACCAGGGACAGCCTCCAGCCGCAGCAGCTGCAAAGACAGCACCCACCACACCCTCCTGCCTGGCGGGGCTCTCCCCGGTCAGCCTCCACCACAGCTGAGCTGGGCAAGGGTCCGATCCTCCCGGTGCCAGGCAAGACTTTAGACGACCCCTGCCTGCACTCCCCGGGGCTGCACAGAGGCTCTCCCGACCCCGTCCTCCGTCCTCCCTCTCTGCTCGCAGGCGAGAGCCACACTGTGGTAAGAGGCCCTTCCTGCCCGCTTCTCCTCCTTCTCCCCTATGTCACGGGCATTGCCCTCAGCACCCTTCCCACCCTCCCGCCTCCGTCTCCCAGAGGACACGGGTGGGAACGGGCCTGCTGTCCACTCGGGAGCCTCRGCAGCAGCACCAAGTCCGACACTTACACAAGAAGGTGCCACTCRCTCCTTCACGCAGCCTTTGCAGCACCTCCCAGCACCAGACGCAGAGAAGAGCGGTGCCGAACCCGCCCGTCACACGGCGAGTCGCACTCACCAGGGCACAGTGGCGCCTCCTGCAGGCCAGTGCGGTGGCCAAGGAAGGGCAGCCACACCATCTGGGCCACAGGCCGGGAGCCCCAGAGCAGCACAACTTACAAGATGCCTGGTCGCCGTTGGTCTTCAGGGCAATGTCATTCCTCTCCTGGCGCCCCTTGGTTCCGGAGACTTCTTCCATCTTGTGAATTTCCGACAGGCAGAGTTTGGGATTATAGTGGAAGAAGAGTTTCCCCTGAGTGATGGTGAGGTTGTGCTTGCTCCAGTCCCAGAGCTGCCTGAGGTTCTGGTTGTCCAAGGCGTAGAAAGAGTAATTCCTGCAGGAACACACATGTCCTGGTCACTTGGCGGCATCTCCTGCTCAGCTCTGAGAGGGCAGTGCTGGGCCGGGGGTCGATCTCATCCCGTGCTACAACCTCGGTGCCAACCACTTCCAGGGGCAGACTCTGTGGATATTTATCGAATCGGGAGAATGGGGAAGCCGCCTCGTTTTTGTGGCCAGGAAGGAGTCTGAGCTCAGCCCTAGGGATGGGGAGGCGAGACCATGGCTGGACCAAGACTGGGTTCGCAGGGAGGAGAGACTGAGAAAGAGGTGTCGGAGCTGGGAAAACCAAAGAAGGCCACTCGGCCCCAGGGGATGCCCAGTGGCCCGGCCCCCAGCGCACTGCAGGCCAGACCAACCCAGAACACGGACTTCCTCCACAGGGAGAGGGGTCCTTCAAGGTTTTACTCCCCGTCAGCTCTGTGACCTGGTTAGATCTGAGCTTCAGAAAACCAGTGAGCCACCAGCAGGTGACGGGTGGGAAAAGGGAAACTCGAGACCCGCAATGCAACTCAGAAGCCATCAGCCTGGGTCACGTGGCTACTGAGCGCCTGGATGGGGGCCATCCCAAACTGTCCTGGAGGGGGAAAGCGCGTCTCAAAGACTCGGCACAAGAACACAGGTGTCCAACCTCTTCTGGAGAATTCCTTTTTAAATTAATTCCATATTGAAATAACCTTTTGGATATAATGGGTAGGAAAATTAATCTCACCCGTTTCTTTTCAAGTTTTTAAAGTTCAGCTACTGGGACATGTCAGTCCCGGGTGTGACCTGTACTGGGTTCCGCTGGACAGCAGGGCTCCAGCCCGGGAAAGCCTATCCAGGAGGCACTGGACCATCCACAGGAAACACCAGAGCTTCAGCGCAAAGGTGTTCGTGATGGCCGCACCCAGAAGGGCCCACCTACCCGATCTCCAGCGTCTCTCCTCGAATCAGACGCAACTTCCGGAAGAAGGAGAGGGACACCAGAGCGTAGGATCGGCGGATTTTGAGATACCCTGAAATTTCTTCAATGAGGCCAAGGTTGGCCTCCAGCTCAGCCGCCAGATTGTCTGGGGGGAGGGAGGGAGARTGCCGTGAGCTCTGTAGAAGTCCTTTCATCTCCCCTGAAGAGCAGCCCGCTGCCCAGGGGTCTCCAGACTTGTTCACACAAACCCGTCTTGCTGCTCCCAATCAGCCAAGCATACCCCAGCCTCATGCCTGGGAATATTACCCCAGCATCTGCCTGGCTTCTCCCACCACCCTCTCTAAGCTTCCTTCCCTAGACCAGAAACTTCTTAAAATAGCAACCTGCTTTCTTCTCTGTTTAGGAGGTTGGCAAAGGACACTCTGTTTTTTAGATAAAGATTTATTGGAACAGAGCTCTGCCCACTGGTTAACCTGCATGGACGACTGTTTTCACACTTAAAACCACAGAGCCGGGATGTTATGATGGAGATTATGAGGCCCACAGAGCTACAGACAGTCAGCCCCTGGCATCCATGGGCTCAAGCAACTGAAGCTCAGAAAAACTGGGGGGTTGAGGGGGGTGGAATTCATCTACACTGAACATGTAGAGATGTTGTTCTTGTCACTACTCCACAGACAACACAGCATGTCAACTACGCTCATGGCATGTACATCATATAGGTATGACCAGTCTCTGGACATGATTCAAAGTCTACGGGAGGCTGCGTGTAAGGTCTGTGCCAACAAGGAACTTGAGCATCTATGGATGTGGGTATTCATGGGAGTCCTTTAATCTTGCTTAAGCCAGTTTAAGTTTTGGGTTCTGTCACACAAAACCACCATGTTCCCAATAGTTACAGCTCAAAGTCTCCTGCTGATCCTTCCTCGCATGCTAAAGGACCCCCATCTTCACTACCTGGCCCTTCAGAGGAGAAAATTACTCTCTCTTACTGCAYCCTCTACCTGTTTTGCTGGCCGTCACGGCCCCTAAGCTGAGCTTACTCTTTTAATTCCAGCCTGGCCAAGCGTTTGCCTTGTTGGCTGTGATTATTCAATCAGGGTTTTCTGGATAAGTTAACGCACGGGGAAACATGGTCTGCTCGCTACAATAAGGCAGACTTGTTAAAAACGCAGATTCCTGATGCCCCAACTCTGCATTGGAAGATGAGAATTTCAGAGTAGATGGGGCCAGGCCCTGAGCCGTTCGAATTCTGAGGCAAACTAGTGGCATGATACTGCTGGTGACAGTGCCACTGAAGGGTGCTCCCAGGCGACCTCAGGAACAGAGCCGCTTCCACAGCTCCCAGGGAGCAGCCCCCCCCCAGCACTCACTGCCCCCGCGGATGTTGATGATCAGGCTCCCGTTGACCACGGTGCAGCCTCGGAGCTCCTGGGCCGACGTCACCGAGTCGATGGTCTTCTCGCCTTCTAGGAGGTGACAGACCTTGGGACAGGGGCCCAGGCAAGGGGTACACATCAAGCTGAGGTTGGAACAGAGAGAAAGAGGCGTCAGGGCACACAGGGCTCCCCTTACCTGGCACGGCAGACCACAGGCTCCAAAGGGACCCAGTGACACACTCAGGCGGTTACCCTAAGCAGCGCTCCCGACCTCGGCAGGAGCACGGAGGCCAGATGTCCTGCGCATCACAGGCTCTGAGCAGCATCTCTGGGCTCCACTCCTTCAACGCCAAGAGCATCCCCTCCTCAAGCTGTGTCAGCCCACAAGGTCCCCATGTGGGAGGGCAACAATTATCCTCAGGTAAAAACCACCACCCAAAGTGAGACACTTTCTGGCTACAGACACCAATAAACTCCTGTGATCTTGCTTACGCCAGTGTAAGTTTGGGGTTCTGTCACACAAAACCACCGTGTTCCCAAAGTTACAGTCTCAAAGTCTGTTTCCTCATGGGTGAAATAAAGAGACCACATCGAGCACGAAGAACACAGAAAACAAAAATTGTCATCTATGCTCTGATATTACTAGAATAAAAATCCACAAATAAGTGATCATTTACACATCTCTACRGATGCGGATCTTCAGACTTTAGTATTTAAGAAAAAAACAAAGTACAGTTCTCCCTCCATATCCATGGGTCTCACTCCTATGGATTCAACCACCCAAAGACAAAAACTATTCAGAAAAAAACTGCATCTATATAGCACATGTGCAGGCTTTGTGCTCGTTATGCTCAATGAAGCGTAGCAACTTGTCATACATGTGCAAAAAATCCAAAGCACTGCGTTGCCAGCATGCTGGACAAGGACGCTCAATCTTGTAGTACCCAGTCTTATACAAGGGACCTGAGCAGCCACAGATTTGGGTATCTGAGAAGGTCCTGGACTCAATCCTCCAGGGATGCCGAGGGGGGACTGGTCATGTGATCTTTGTCCAGGTTCCCAGCACAGAGCTTCGGGAACTCCTGGGATTTCCTGAAGGACAGGAATGTCTTTGTCAGGAGTGTTGGAAATGTGAAGGGGACTTGTGGCAGCACCTAGATACCTTCAGGTGGGCACCGGTCACTGGCGCACCAACCCCAGGAGTAGAGGGTCGGAGCTTCCTGCGGCCCCACCTCCAGGGAGGGGCTGAAGGTGAAGTTCAGTCGTGTGGCCAACACCTCCCTCATTATGCCTGCAGACCGAGTCCCCGGCAGAAATTCTAGGCATCAGAGCTGAGTGGAGTTCCCTGGATGGGGGCCAGTCACATGGATGTGCCAGAAGGTGGCAGGCTCCAAGTCCACAGGGCCAAAGTTGGGTGGCCCTGCGTCCGCCTCTCCCAGACCTCGCCCCGTGTGTCCCTTGTGGTGCAACTGTACCCGAGGGCTTATGTCAGCTCCGAGTCCTGCTAATGAATCACCAAACCCAAAGCATTTGTGAGAGACCCCCAACCTACAGCCAGTTGTCAGCAGTGTGGGTGTTCTGAGGACCCCCAGTACACAAAGTTGGCATCCGAAGTGACAGCCGTCTTGTGGGGGATGGAGGCTTAAGCCCGTGGAGTCCGGTGCTGACCACAGGTGGTCAATGTCAAATTGTGTGCAGCAGCCCCAGATGGTCAGAGCAGCTGGGCTGCAAACACAGCCGCGACCAAATGTTTGAGTTCTTTCATTGTCTCTACACCTATGTGACAGGCAGGAATCTGAGCCCAGGGCTGGCAAACCATGGCCCGCAGGCCAGGTCCAGCTGGCCACCTGCTTTTTCAAATACCATTCTACTGAGCACAGCCACGCCCCTTGGTTAGGAAGCTCCTCAGCCTGCTGTTGACTGTGGAGCCCACACTGAGTCACTGCAGTGGAGGACGTATTCACTCTCTGGCCCGTCGCCAACCCCGGCTCCCTGCTATCTTAGCGGGAAATGACGAGTGGCCACGAGTTCTTTGCTGTTCTCGCGGCCTCTCCCACCAGGAAGGGCTGTTCTGCACCTGTGGAATCTTGGCTGGACCGTGCGACTCTCCGGGGCCACTGAGATATTAGCAAATGTGATGCACGCGGAGGCTTGAAGAGCTCTTTGAGTTTGGGGCCTGTTTTTCTTGGCTACGGGGGTGAAAGATCTCATGGAGAGAGGCCCCAGGTGACTGAGAGAAGTGATCCTAAACCATACAGCCACCACCAACCAGCCCTGGCCAAACCGAGCTGCAGGCAACAAACAAAACCTCAGAACGCAGAGTCGCTTACACCACGAGGCACCGTGGGCGACTCCTCACACAGCAAAAGCTGACAGATGTCACAAAGCTCATGACCCAGGGGGGACAGCAGAAATATCAGCTAGTGAAACATGCTGTGAAAAGAGTTAAGCCGCAGTCAGGTGCCACAAGTAGGAGATGTGTCCTCTGTGCAGGTGACTTCAGACCTGCAGGACGGACAGGAGTCCCTCATCCAGGGACTGAGGGACCGACTCATTCTCCATGCAGGTGACTTCAGACCTGCAGGACGGACAGGAGTCCCTCATCCAGGGACTGAGGGACGAAGCATTCTAGGAGAGAGCAGCTGGTGCCGAGGCAGAGGAAAGAAGGGGAATCGAAAGGCTGGAGGGAAGTCCCAAGGCTACAGCAAGAGGGAGGCAGCGGGGACAGAGCCCCTGGGAACCTGAGGGGCCTTGGCAGGTGCACATCAGCGGGGTGAGATCCTGGGGGTCTCCAGGCATGATCAGGTGGCCGGTGTTTAGAGCTCCTGCAGGGCTGGGTTGGTGCAGCTCAGTGGCAGAGCCCTTCCCCAGCACGGCAGAGAAGGAAAATGGTTACTTGGGCCACGATGTGTAACTGAAGCAGGACGGTGACCAAAGAGGACGTTCAAGGTGTTTGGTGCAGACACAGATAGAGTTGGGCAGGGATCTGATGAGCAGGGGCGAGTGGGGTGGGAGACAGTCGAGGATTAGGGGTAACTCCCCCTCTTCCCAACAGACACCCACACACACCAAATTTCTGGTTCCCCTTATCTCAGGAAGGCCCACCCTGCTGATCCACCGGCACTCTGGGTGACCACAGATGGGATGCATTTTGATCAATTGATGGGACTTCCCAGAACTCTGCTTCAAATACACCAAGAACCGCATCCCAGATAAGCCACCCAGAATGGGAAAAAAAACCATATCTGGTCCTCCTTGATATCAAACCACATTAGAAAACACAATAGTACTACAAAGGCCTCCATAAAATAAAATTTTAAAAAATTATTTCTGAAGCTTTTAACTACAAAGTAAAATGATGCAGTACTTTTATGGGAAGCCCTCACTTGGCCCCAGCTGTCACCTCCCCAGGGGAGGTGCTGGCTGTTTCTTAGAGAGGTGGCTTTTGTTTGCTTCTTCTGGGTGGTGCTAGGATAGAGCCCAGGGCCTCCCACCTGCTAGGCCAGCGCTGACCACTGAGCCACGCCCTGGTGCTTCTTGGGGTTTGTTCTAAGTTTTAACACACCTTCAATGAGAATATCAAAAGAAGTTGCTGTATTTCTCAGGCCTTCAATACAGTGAGGGGGAAATGCCTTGTATTTAAAGCCAATTATCTTTTAGTTTTGGGGGCTGAGGGTACCAAGGATTGAATTCAGAGGCATTCAACCACTGAGCCTCATCCCCAGCCCTACTTTGTATTTTATTTAGAGACAGGGTCTCACTGAGTTGCTTAGCACCTTGCTTTTGCTGAGGTTGGCTTTGAACTTAAGATACTCCTGCCTCAGCCTCCCGAGCCATGGGAATTACAGGCGTGCACCACCGTGCCCAGCTTAAAGCCGATGTCTTTTAGACAAATATCTCCCCTAAGTCATTAAAACCCTGTCTGTATTCAAATGGGGGGGGGGGCAGAAATGAATCCAAAGGAATATGATCATTTTCCCAGCCTTACTGTTAAACTGACCAGGAAAAAAGAAGTTCCATCCAGCAAGCAAAGGTGACATAAAGGGTTATTTTCAGTCAACAAGACCACTTGACTTTTTTTTAATGAATCAAAAATGAATAACACAAAACATGTTGTACTTTCAAGTTTCATAAACACTAAAGAAAGGTTCATAAGAACTGAAATAAAGATTGTTTTCCTTCCTGCCCTCTCCACTCAGGGAAATAAAATTTCCCACCAGAACACTCTCGCTTGGCTAATTCTCAAGTCTGAAGAGTAAGATTTTTTACGTAAGCAGGTCAGCCCGAGGCCACCCGACATGTGTCTGTTTCTGATTTGTTTTTCTGTTGTTTTGTGGTGAAGTTTTTTTTTTTTTTTTAAACCCTCAGCACAAAAACCAGGAAACAGATTTTTAAAGCATGGTTATGACCCCAGACATTGAAATCTCTCTTCTTAGAAACTAAAGACATGATCACAAACCTATGGCATGTGTAGAAAATTTTGCTTGAGGCCAGAGAGAGAGAGAGMGCCCTGCTGTTTCCCACCCAAACTGGAGGAAATGGTTCGCACTGTCCTTCCAAAGACAAAGGCCCCGSAATGCAGCAGAAGCAGGTCTCTTCCTCCTGGGGACATTATGGGCTGACACCATCACTGTCTGGCTTCACGTAGGGAAGTCATGGAAAGCCTCAGTCACATCCTTGGCTTAACAAGGAGGCAGCCACCTCAGGGAAGACCTTGGGGGGTCCCAGGGGCAAGGAAGGACATCTACYCTCATGTTCTCTGCTAGCGAAAGAACAGGGTGTGAGACCTGAAGATACGAGTCCATTAGAAAAAATGTTTGCTCACTCCTGCACCAGAGCCCAGGACCCAAACAGGGGACAAAATGTCGCCTAGAGACCCAAGCGTATCCCCGGGGCAGAGCACTCCACAGCAGCAACCTTGCTCCGGGCCAAGCAGCTTTGGTTTTGCACACAGTGTGAACAGGCAAACCATCAGCACCCATTCTACCCATGGTTGACAGTGTTGGGCGTGATCAGCAGCCCACGCTCCTTCCCCTCGGGCCCTCCTCCCTCCACCCCACCAAGGACTCACTTGCTGGAGTTCATGGTGTAGCCGGAAGGACATTCGGGGATRCATTTGTTGTTGTGGATGACGTACTGGTGGCAGCCCGGGCGCCGCGAGTTCTTGCATCTGTTGTGCAGGTCCTGGCAGAAGCTGAAGTTCACGCAGCGCCAGTCCTGGAAGTGGTAGTAGGGGGGCGGGCAGGTCTCCACGCACCTGCCGTCCAGGTAGAAGTTGCGGCAGGCCACACACTTGGTGGGATCGTCGGGCTCGGAACAGTTGCCCAAGCATTCGCTGTGGCAGCAGAGCCCTTCGGCRGTACAGCCGTGCGACTTACAGATGGTCGGGCAAACTGGAGAGGGGGAGAGAGCACAGCTGGTCACTGATGTGCCCACTTTGTCTGCACGTGCAGCAGCTATGGCCCGGGAGTGGGAGCCAAGCAAAATAACAAAACAGCCACAGTTCCACACTCTCGCCGCGTGCCAGGCCTATTGATGAACCCACTGAAGCTTCAGAACCAGCGCCGAGCCTGGAATACCAACACCACACGGGGCAGGGGGCAGAGAAACCCCAACTTAAAAACATCTGCCAATTTCTAGGGTCCACTGAGGTCACCCACAAGAAGCCACCAAAAAGAGTTGGCAAGACGTGTATGGTAGCATTCCATTAAACAGTATGTCCAATGGTAGGTGCAATCTATATCTATCAAAGATACAGAGTAGCAAATAATCTCAAAGGCACCAATAATAGAAACATGCAGAACTAGGAAGTGGGAAGTGTGAGAACTTATTACCTGGTGTTGGACATAATTTTGATCATAGTCTTATACAATTTTTAATAATGCCTGGGTTTAACAAATTGGCTAGCAAATTTCCTGAGAATACCACCATTGGCTCTAGAGAGCCAGATTCACCCCAACAGTGAAATGGATAGGTTATCTTCATGTTTCCACTTCACAGATGGGGAAACTGAAGGCACAGGGTTAAGTGCTGCGCCCCACCCCCAAAAAAATTTCTTTTGCAAACATTTGCTTAAGCTGATGTTGCTGCTGCAGCCCCTGCAGCGGGCTGGGGGATTCCCACAGCCCCTACCTGCGGAAGCACAGAGTCGGCTGAAGAAGGCATGTTACTTAAACACAGGAACGTGAACAGGTGGACGGAGGATGGAAGGGAGATATGATCCAATAGGAAGGAGGAGCCTGCAGGTGAGTGGGGAGCCTGTCTGCAGATCTGGCAGGAGGAACCTTCTTATTGGGAGCTACTGAACCCAAGGCTGGCCTCCACCCAGCTTCCTCCACCGCTGGTCACACCTGCCCTTTCTCCCAGGACCCCTCTACTCATGGCTGCCTGGTTACCTCTCAACTTCAGCCCCTTGGCATCTGTCCTGGGCACCCCCTTCCCAGGCTCCCGACAGCTTCACAGAAGCCAGACGGCTCCTGGCCACAGGCCTGGCCTCTTCTCCAAGGTGTTGCCCTCCCACGCTCCCTGCACCGTCTAAACATGGCTTGGAAGCCATCCAAAATCAGGCTCTGTAGTTACTACAACGAACTTTCCCACCAGCCAGACCCAGGGAACAGGAGCATCCCTGAGGTCCCTCCACCCCGAGCGGCACTGTCCAGCCGAACCGTCAGGGATGATGGAAATGGTCCTTATCTGTGCTGACCAGCACAGCAGCCACTGCCCCTCCGGGCTATGGATGCGGCGAGTGCAAATTGCTAAAATACACGTAGCATAAATTTGAAATCTTGACCGTTTAAAGTCTGCAGTCGGGGGGCATTGAGGACATCACTGTGCAGTGGGGGTCACCACTACCCACCTCCAGGACTGTCGCATCCACCCAAGCTGAAACTGAAACTCTGCCCCTGTCAAACCCCCCAGCCCGGCACCACAGTTCCGCTTTCCATCTGTGTGAATCTGCCGACTCTAGGGACCTCCTGAGGGTGGACTCCTTTGTCCGTTTGTGGAAATCTAGCCGATTTCACGTAGCAAAATGTCCCCACGGTTCACCCCTGGTGCAGCAGGCACCACGCCCTCCTTCCCTTCAGCAGTTGAATGACAGCCCATTGTGTGGACAGCTGCGTCGGTTTATCCATTCATCCATGAACGGCCACTTCGTTGGCTTTTGCCTTTTGGCTTCTATGAGCCACGCTGCTGTGAACACGGATGGGCGTGCAAAGGTTCCTCACGCCCCTGCCTCGACTCTTCCATGCAAGGCACCTGGAATTGGAGTTTCAGGATCGAATGCTGATCCTAGTCATCTCCTGATGAGCGCCTACTGTTTTCCAGTGACTGAACCACTTTGTATTCCAGTCAACAGTACACAAAAGTTCCAATTTCTCCCGAGGGACTAAACTTCTAACTGTAGTTCATTTAATTTTTTTCCCAATTTTAATTGCCACAGTGTTTACCACCTCCTGTATGAAACAGTGCAGCCTTAGAAAATAAAAATAAACTCCTTGCCAGTGTCTACATGCCCCATGGGGCCCAGTCCCTGCTAGCCTCACTGAGCCCTCCCAGCCCTGGGCAGCAGTATGCTGGCTCCCTCCTGCCTGACACACCCAGGCTTGGTTCTACCTCAGGGCCTTTGCATCTGCTATCCTAACTGGCTGGAGTATCCTACCCATTGTCCCTTCATGACCATCCTCTTCTCATTCTTTAGGTCCCAACTCATTATAAAGATCCTTCCAAAGAAATTTGCCTCTACTTCTCAAACCATGCTCCAAAACATTATCTTAATAAAGTTTCCATATAGCATTTATCACTCTTAAAAAAAAAAATCCAAGATCATTTTTCAACTATTTGTCTAGAGGGGATTCCTAGGGGACAGGGTTACTGCACCCACTCCTAAAATAGGTATCCAGCAGGAGCTCAGGAGAGACACTTGCCCAATGAGGGGGAGATGCAAAGGAAGGACTTTGGGGGAGACTCCAATTCTTAGTAGTGGCTCAAGAATTCATCCAAGAATGCCCAAGAGGAGACCCACACCCCCCACAAGCCCTGAATGTAGCTGCCTAAGTGCATATTCTGCTTTAGATGAATCCCGAAAGATTGCAACACCTCCAATAAGAGCAGGTCTGGGGGAGGAGACCTATGAGTGTCTGAAGTGTTTAAGGCCACACAGACCCGAGTCAGGTAAGTAGCATTATCTCCTTTCCACAGAGGCCAGAAGACAGGTCCAGCAGATAAGTAGCAGGACCCGTGACGGACTCTCCAGCTTTGGCTCTGCATCTGACATGCCTGGGTGGGAAAAATGACCAGGGACTGTGGCCTCCTGCAGGATCCACGGACAGAGGAGCCACAGGCATCCAATGCATTCAGCTTTAGAGACCGGGCACCATGCCCCCTAACTGGCATACCAGGAAGATTTCCTCGGTGCACCAATGGCAGTCTTAATTTCCTCATCCATAATAAAATGGGATAAGCATCTCCTATGTGCTGTTAAGATTGTTGCAAGAATTCAATGGGATGATCTTTGAAAAGCACCAAAATTCCAAGAATACCTGCAAATACCAAAATTAGTGGATGTTCATGTCTGTCTGCGAAACGGTGTAGTATTTACATAGAACTTACATACATGCTACTGTGGACTTCAAACCCCCTCCAGATAGATTATAAGACCTAGCACCACTTAAATGCTATGTGAATAGTTGCTTTGCTGTACCGTTTGGGGAATACCGGAAAAAATGTCTGCAGGACAGGTGCTTTTTTTTTTTTCCTGGCTAGTTCTGACCCAGAGTTGAGCGTGAAGATGTGGGACGTGAGGCTGTGGAAAGCCAACCGCATAATCATCATTGTCGTCATTATCAGTGTCACTAATACTGATCTGTCTGGGTGATCTGAGGGCTGAGACTCAATTGGAGGAAGCAATATATAAAGCAGACAATGATCTAGGGTCACAGAGACTGGCTCTGGCAGGGCACATGTAAGAGCAGGAAAGAGCCATTTCCTGGGCTGGGGCTGTATGGAGGGCTGGCCCTTTCATTCATAAGAGTCATCATCAAAGCCCTAATAAAACGACTTCCCGAACACACAAGCCTTCCAGCCCGGACAATGCGAGGAAGGGCTTCCAACACTGGCCAGCAAAGCCAGCGGCCAGCCAGACGTTTCAGCCTCAGACAGTGCACCACGCAATTCCACTTACAGGACATCCTGGAAAGAGCAAGACCACAGTGACAACAGGCTGCCAAGGGACCACCTGGGGCCACTGGGAAGGGCACAGGACTTTGGAGTGGGGGCCGTTCCCTATCTTTTTCTTTGGAGGGGGATGGTACTAGGGATTGAGCTCAGGGTATCCAACTACTGAGCCACATCCCAGCCCTATTTTGTATTTAGTGACAGGGTCTCACTGAGTTGCTTCGCACCTTGCCATTGTCTAAGCCTCTGGAGCTGCTGGGATTACAGGYGTGCGCCATCATGCCCAGCTCTGTTCCCCACCTTGATGGTGCTTATCCTTACCTATGTACCTGGAGGGGAGGGGGAGAGAGGCTGATGAGTGGCACTAGAGTGGGAGGGCAGRGGTGTGGCTCAGTGCAGAGCACTTACCCACTGCACATGAGGCCCCGGCTCCATCCCCAGCTCCAGAGATTGAAGGAAAAGAAGCAAGCAAGCCAGGAGGGAAGGCAGAGCAAGGAGGAGGAGGATCGAGAGGCCCCAGGTGCTGGTGCACGGTGGGGTGAATACAAATACCATGCACTATACATCTCAAAGCATGGGAAAAACAGATTTAGAAAGTTTTTACCATAAAGAAATGTCTAACGTTCAAGAAGATAAATATGGTTCTTCCATTTGTTTGGCTAGCAGTGCCGGGGATGAGCTGAGGGCCACGTGCATGCCAGGCAAGTGCTCTACCTGAGCTAAACCCTCAGCCCAGGGAGATAAATATGTTTACCCTGATTTAAACACTATCCAATGCATACAGGTATCCATAGATTAGGTGGTGATATTAATGTGCATAATTTTTATGCTTTTATGTACCTTAAAAATTCACAGAACTTTACACTAAGATGGATGGATTTTACTACATGTAAGTTATACTTTTAGATGAGTTTAAAAGGATATTTGATTCACGTATCCTTTTAGAAGGAACACAAAAATGCACACAATTTGTTGTTTACTATATATGTGTACTATCCACTTTTTTTTTTTTTTTTTTGACAGGGTCTTGCCAAGTTGCCCAGGCTAGCCTTGAACTTGTGATCCTCCTGCCCATATCTAGTTTTAAAAGCCTCTCCTAGACAAATAAGCAAATGTTATTGATCAGTGACATGATTCTACCCTGAAATATCCCAGCAGCAACTGCAAAAGAATAGTTGAAAAATCAAATACCTGTACAGTCTTTTAAGATCATTTTTCT